ATACAGACCTGACGTTTCATCCAGCAGGCTGATTAGTGTGACGCACTGAAGCAGAACCAGCCAGAACAGAGAAGATTGTATTGATCGTCACAGTGACCTTTCCGCTGCCACTGTTCTGCAGATGTGGGGGGGTTGTCATTCTTTGAGACTCTGACTCACGAGCATCAGCCGACATCGCAAAGGACAGTAATGCTGCTCTGCACAAATGACATTCATTGACTTCCAAGCAATGAATTGTAATCATTGTGGTCTCAGTGGGATAGTAGCAAAGTATAGCAACCCTTAAGCTTAGTCCTCCTAAGTAGAGGTTGGATAAAAATCAATATAACTCACCATGTTGATAGAAAATGAAGGCCTAGCATCATGAAAGAGTGCATCAATTCATAAACACAAGATTAAGAAATACGTGTTGTTTTTTATGAAGAAACGTATATCGATGGAATTGATATGTTGTCTTAAGGTGATATCACCAGGAGAGACTCACATTTACTTGTTATGCAGATGATACTCAATTATACTTATAAATGAAGTCAGTTTAAATCAGCCAGACAGTTGAACCTAAAGCAAGCACAGAATATCCTGGATGAACAGCAGTTCTCACCACAGTCTGTGGACTCTACAAAAAAAACAAACTAAAAGCATTTCTCTTTAAAATAACTTTCCCTTAATAGTACTGTCTTTCGATTGACACGGACGCCACATGAATTTTAGAGGTGTAAATTAAATCTGCGTGTTGTTTCTTCACTGTTAAGTTGTTGTTTCTTGATGCTAATTTTTAATTATTTGTAATGCAAAGCGAGTTCAGCATACCCAGGGTACCTTTCAGTTATCTGGCTTCATTGATCCTGACAAAGGAGATCTCTATAAGCAGTCGTATGAAGCTGGTTATAAACTTGACAAGACAACCCAGGGTTTCCATGAGCGAGTTCACATAAAAGAAGCGATGTGACCTTCATATAAACTATCAGTATCATGAAAAAGTCTGCCATCAGCAGTTCACTATACTGTACAAACTCAGAGCAAAAATATGACAAAGTTAAAGACAAATTTCAATACAGCTGCTGACACAAATTCAGGAAGAATCAAAATCACTTTATCATCATTACTTCATAGTGGTTCTGAATATGATGACTCTTGTTCGTTCACTTAAATATTTATTTTCTCATGTGGAATGTCGGATAGTTTAAGACATTATATTTCAGCTGCAGCTCTGGCGGTATCATATCGAGCGGTATGAGGCTTGTCAAAATAAAGTCTATTTAAGAAGACACCAGTCATAAAATATATGACGAACTGATTCCCCTGCAGACTTAATCCAGGTATCTTATCAATTTGAAAAGGGATTCAAAATGAAGCTGGATGTTGTTTTGTGTGTGAAAGTATTGTACTTTAGAGGGCCGAATAAAGATACATACATTTAGCTGAGGCTGTGTGAATGTGTCTGAGTGAATCTGAAAGGGGACGGAGACACATAGAGTAAATCGGCAGGGTGGGGGGAGGTGGAGGTTTAACTGAAAAACCACTTCTGGAGTCTGAAGCATGGTTGGTTGGGTGATTGGTGATGGCAAAGAAGAAAAGAGATGAGGGGTCTGTGGTTAAGGCGTGTGCCAATAGCTCTGTTACAGATCTATATTTGAAACAGATCATAAAGAAACAGTCAATTCTCTTAAGTGAAAAAGTGGAGAGAAAATAACGAGGATGTGGAGAAGGGAGGCAGTAGAACTAGCTGGGGAATCGACATTATTGGCAGTAAGGGCTGGGAAAAGACATCTGTGGTAGGAGTGTGTAACCACATGAAGACATGCAATCCAGATGGGACAGAAACAGGTACAGTTGGCAAATGTGTTGATCTCAGTGAGATGAAAGGACTGAACAAAAAAGAGGGAAAACCATGCAATAAGATTCATGGGAAAGTTTAAAATAAAAAAAAATGATGTGAAGAGAGTTCATTGCCTTTGCCAATGTGATTATAACATTGGCAATATATCCTATAGAAAAAGTACGACAGAGGAGGCAGTAATTACAGGTCAGGCAAGGAGCTCCTGGATTTTCAATAAAAATCAAGCTAAGCACAGACACAACCTACAACAACATGAACACACATAGCATATGGGGAGCACTGGATGATCACAGAATCAGGAAAAGACACTCCGATCATCTGCGGTGCATGGCAGGCCTGACAGCAGGAGACAACCAAAGCAGCAAATGCAACAGGGCAACCTTTGTATATGATAAAAGCAGTGCTAGGGAGGTGAAAAGATGGACAACCTCCAGCTGAAGCTTCAGAGGAAAACTGACCTTCTAGGCTAATTCCCAATACATGTCAGTGGGGGCTTAATGCTGACTGAGGTGCAACCCTGCACCCTACTGCTGTGTGAGGTAGGTAGCTAATAGTTAAGTTACAAATTATGCATTACTAAATACTAGCGTATGTAGCCTGGAAGTGCTATTATTAGGTAGAGATGCCTATCACATGTTTAAGCCTAGGCTGAGGAGCTAGCCTAGCTAAGTCTTTTTTTATTTCACACATGCACTGCCTCTTAAATCCAAAAAGTTGGGTGAGCTGCATGTGTAAATGCAGATGGATACATTTTTTCCTCCCTTTACCTGGACCTTTAGTAAAATAGTAAAATTTCCCCTAAGAAGATCACTTAATAATTGGCAGGAGCGATGACATTTATATCATGTGACCAGTGAGAAACCAGTTGGATCTCCATGCATCTAATGAAGCTGATCATAACTTTTCCTGCATGCACTGTTTTCTTTTAAAGTCTTACACTGATGCTGTGAAATTTCCAATTACATGTAACATTGATAAAAAGGCAAAAAAAATAAATCTCCATAGTGTTGCTTTTCGGCCATCATGGATATGTTGTGGAAATGATTCTTGTTGCTTACATATTGCCAGTTAAATGACATTTACACCCCTGTTACGCCTGTTAATCTGTCTGGGATTGTAGATCTGTTAATTTATGATGCATACACACACTCAAAAGACTGTGGTACTGTGAACTGCAATCTCTACAGACATGCTACCAAAGAGTTCATAACCTGCCTGCCTGGAAAAATGTGCCAAGTGTTGTCGATTAAACCCTGTACTTCCTTAACTGTGAAGGTGACTTTGAGCAGACTGTTGAAGCTGCATCTGCTCCACTAAAGCTAATCGCGTCAAAAACTCAAAAACAGTGAAGTATCTGTATTCAGCGTAACACAGCACCGAAATATCTTTTGTGGTCAGAGAATCTCTCCGGGGTAGGTGTGCATAAAGAACAAGAGAGTAAATCTGCATATTAAAATGAACCCACATTCGTAGTAGCTGTCTTGAAGTGAAGTGAAGTCCCAGTGCTAGTAAGCCTGTTTTCACTGTATGCACACAAAGAATGAGAATTAATATGCAGAGAATCCTGGTGTGATCAAAATGATTGACTCACTCCAGACTGGGACATCTAGTCACTCAAACCACCTCAAATAGTATTTTATATTATAGGGATTTATCTCCTCATGGGAAGCAGAGAGTCGAGATAAAGAGAGGCAACTTTCTGGATCAACATCAGACATGGAGCTGTTGGAGATGTGATGTGGTGTGGTTCTGATGATCACATTGCTGATTCAGGCAAGTTTGGGAAACCAGAAACCAAAGACCCCCTCGATCCCCTGCCTTCACACTTAACCGTACTCCCCTTTAATCCTCAACGACCCCATGCACAACAGACACTCACATGCAACCACATCTGTCTCCCGCCCCTTAGCTCCTCCTCACCACTGGGAAATTTCACAAACTATCGTCACTGCTCACCACACCTCCATCTCTAATTTAACCAGAAACCCCACATTTGGTGCAAAGCAGACCCCGTCTCGGATGATCTTAATAATGTGACCTCCGGCGCTCAGAGCTCCATTCAAACTTTTAGTGTCGACCTTACCCTACAATCAGGCTGCAGTCACGGTTTCCTTAAGGGTGGAAATCAAATAAGCGCACATTATGATCAGACGTCATTTGGGTTTCCATGTATGCCAATTCAAACTAAAAGGGAAAAAAAAAGCACCCATGCTCAATGGCGTGTCTCTGCTTCAGAAATGTTCAAAAGCAACAAGATTTAATTTCTCTGAAGTGAAAGGCGGACTGCCTCATGTTTTCACGCTTAACCGCCTTATTCTTCATTTTAACAAGATTCTTTTTGTTGCGTTACTCACCCCTAGTGTGTCTTAACACCCTTCTCATCCAAGTGATTTCTTTCAGCACACTTTAAGATAAGGAAAAATCAATATGCAGCCAACTGACTGGCTGCACATGAAGCATCAAGGGTAGGAGTAATCTGATTTTGTGTGGCATGTTCTCTGCTGATTCATGTGAAGGCGATGCATTAAATCGCCGCCGACTCGTTTGTGGTGGCAGACATTGGTGATATATATGCCTCTCTGTTTCCACTCCAACACAGTGGTACAGTTACTAAGCGTGCAATCTGATGGGATCCGTGCCAGTATTTCTGACGTCCATTCGTCACCCATAAGACACACACTGTTTGCATGCTTACACACTTTCCTTGGGTTTGTCCTGGAGAAAGGCCAATTAAAAAAAAAAGTTCTCTTCAGAGGACAAAGAAAGGTTGTGAACAGTTGAGTGTGAAACTAAAAAAATAATGTGGGTTAGGGTTAGGTGAACTTTAAGTTTAGGAGGTGAGCTGTGATTAAAACGAGTGGTGGGGGGAAAAATCAATCAAAAGGAATCAGAAATCAGTTTTCTTATGAAGAACAAAGACTTACTTCATAAGAAAGCAAGTCCAGTCTTAAGCATTTATAAGACCATTGAATTCAATTGAGACTGACCAGTCTTAACTAGATATCAGACCATTGAATTAAAAATGAGGCTGCCTTGATATAATAATCAAGTTTGTTAGGGCTAAAAATAGTCATAGATAGTCCCTTAAAAAAATCAGGGAATACACATCACAGCAACCTGTGTGGTGAAAAACAATGTAAATATATTTGAGATTTAAATATATATTCATGAGTCATAACAATTTTATTGATTATAAAACAGTACAAAACAAAATCATTAAAACCTTCCCCTCATGTCCTCGTCTACAACAGCTGGTATTATGTGCAGGGCTTTTTATGTCCACGTTATTTAAGTGTCTCTGCAAGACTGAACCAAGGGCGACACCTGGTGGTCAGAATGAATAATTAAAAAACAGCTTCTATAACACTTCCTGAAGGGACTTTGAATCAAAAATTCTTAACAATGTTCTTCTTTGACACAGATTTACTGTAACTCTGCATACAAATTTAAATAATACTAAAGGGTTTAATATCCCTTAACTTGCAGAAAACTTGAAATGAGCACAATTTGTTGTTGATTTTTCAGCATACACTTACTGTAGCTTCCCAGCAATGCAGGAAACAGCTGACAAAAGAACCACTGCGTCTGCAATAGAATGAGTTATAGTGGTTTATTGGATTGTATTTAACACCAAAAATAGTTTTGTCATGTATTCTTTCCCAAATTACTGTTAAATCTAGTAACAAAGTTTGCATTTTTCAGAAGACTGAATTCCCATGAGGATAAAGGTCTCCCAGGAAAAAGACCTGATTCTTGTAAGTGAAAGGTCCCAGCCAATACTTCTAATCACATTAGTGGTGGGTTTTAGAAAAGTAACCTGAACGCTGGTCTGTGCAAACAAGGAGCATGTTCACCTTATTATTGATGTTTGAGTGGAATCTCTCAAGAGACATTTCTTTATATGACTGATTTTGTTTTATTGATCATGTGTTTATACAAAGACATGACAACAAGACACAAAATGATAGAAACCACTCGTAAGAAAAAAAAACTTGTCATTTGATTATGTGGATTTTTGGCAATATAAAAAGAAAAATGAAAACGTATGTTTGTGGTTCCTAAAGTTTTAACTTTGTCATTGTGGTTGAGCAAAGGTAAGACAGGTTGAAATCACATTTTAATAAACCACTTTATGCATCTCCCATTATTTCTGATTTTTTTAACTGCAATCAGACCCCCCCACCCCCCACCCACCGTAAACACGCAAACACTCAATATTTCCTTATTAAGTATAACCCATTACATCTTCTTTAAACATTTGTATGTTTAACTCTCATCTTTGAGGTCAAAGTTATGTACTTCATCATAAGAATCTTGATAGGGTCTTTTCCTTCAGTATGATCCTTTAGTTCAGCAAACACACAGCAAACATTAAAGACTGTCTAATAAAGCACTGCTTCTAAAACCATTTTCCCCTCTCTCAGGGTTTACTTTCTTCACAGGTTTGTTTACTTTGACATTTGTAGCATACATGTTTTTGATGCGCTGCAGTATTTCCTTCTCTTTTAAATAATTTGATTTGGGTTTTAACATGTTTTATATCACATTTGTTTGACACATAAAAGCTTATTAATGTAATAACAATGTTGTTGTTGAGTTGTGTTGCATATTTGGGGGAATTGCTTGTAACAACTTGTTTGATTCAGGTACCATTAGGGCTAGTTTTAAATACATGAACTATTGCACTGAAACTCTGGAAAGAAGAGTTTAAAACGTAAAACTGCAAATTGTATCACACTAAAAATGTCAGAAAACACATGAATTCCTTTTGAATCCATTAGTAAATTCACAGTTAGGGCACAAATCCTAACAATGTTCACCCACTTTTCATTATTGAAACACTTTTAGATTTCATGCACACCCTTGAAATCAATTCATTAATATGCTTAACATCCTATGTCTAATGTCATCTTTTTTTAAATGTGCTCCCTTTTGTATTTTTGGAATAATAAAGTTTAAAAGATAAAACATCCTGAGCAGCACAAATAGAGATGCTTCTGTAATCGCAGTATAAACTTGTAATAAAAAAAAGATATAGTAAGATACTTTTCAGGAAAAGTAACAACGAATAAATGAGGATATAAAAACGTAACAAACTGCTGGTGAGGTTTTGGCGGTCCGTGTGGCTCAGATTAGAAGAGGACTGTTTTCATTCAGATCTTCAACAGGATCCTCCTCCCCTGAGTAGACAGGCTCTGGCTTTCCTACCTCTACTGGTACATCCACTCCTATCAACCCCACCACCCTGAAACATGGACAAACTGGCATCAACAGGAGGCAGAAAACAAGGGAAGCAAAAAAATAATGTTCTCTGGCACCTAAAACAGGAAAAACAATTGTCGTACTAAAGTGTTCCTGGAGATAATCATTGAACTGCTGTCTACTTTTACACACTTGTACTTTCCTCTTGACATTTTCCTAATTACTAAGATATCACTATAGCCACAAGTCTTGCTTCTCTCTTCATTTGAAAAAGAAAGTAGTGGAGCCAACTTTTGTAACTCTTGTTAATGATTGTGTCATGATGCAACAAGATTTATTACAAGCCTTGAATTTCTTTCTCAGCAAACATTTGTTCTTGTAAAGTAAATTGAACTTCTTTGAGTACACGCTGACTAAGCCATTGGTATCTTTTCACAAAACTCATAAAATGTCAACCCATCTAACCTTGAGAAGAATTGGGAGTCTTATGCTTCCCTCTATTGACATTTTACAATTTGTTGTCGTCAAAGTCAGAGCTGAATTGGGAAAGCTTTGAAGATTTCTGCACGACCCAGCCGCATTGGATCAAGCTGCAGACTGATTTTAAATGACAAAACCTAACTACCTTAAATGTTTTTTTTTTTTACATTGGTTATGTATTAACTCCAGAATGTTTGAGTGGAAATATGGTTTATGGTTTTTGATTTACCCCGTGCCAGCAGTGACAGCCATTAACTAAATAGAAACCACCAATCTTGTTGCTAATGTGATTTAAAAAAAGGCTCTAAAAAAGGTAAAGTGCAGGACTAAAGTATTTATTCACAGAAATTAGGTTTCAGTTTCACCTCTTATCACACTTAATCTCTTAACTTCATTTCACCGCTATCATTATGAGCTTCATTCTTCTTCTTTGGCCAATTAACGGCGTAACATTACCCTCATCTACGTCATAAGTACCACCGTGAGGAGTGATGAAGTGGTGACACTGTGAGTCAAATTGGCAGACAAATCCTTTTAGGACAGCACAGTTTTTTATAGAAAATATTGAGATTTGGGGCGCCGGTAGCGTAGAGGTTAGTTTGCACGCCCCACGTACAGAGGCTGTGGTCATCCAAGTTGGCGATTTGAATCCGACCTACTGCTCTATCCGCAGTCCTATCCTATTTCTACAATAAAGACCCAAAAAAGCCCAAAAATAAATCTTAAATTATACATTGAGATTTTGCCCCAGCGATTTAATTATTGTAAGTCAGGACAACAATATATCGCCCCTAACAGGTATCATCCAGATTGTTTTGTTCACTTGTGCCACATGTACTGGTATATATAACATCAGGTGCATGTGTTATATTATTACTGATATTCCCCTTTAGTTAAGGACAAGTACATGGATTTGTTTGGTAGTGAAAGTTACGCAGTGGAAACTTGCTTTAGTGCATATTAGTACTGTGACTGTGAGAGATTATTTTGAAGCAGTTGTTTTTGACTGACCTTGAATTCATATCAGCTAAGCTCAGTTCTGTGTTTTCATTTCCTGCGAGGTAATGTAGCTCTTGGATCCCTTAAAGCGGAACGAAGATTATACCAAATCTCTGTGTAACAGAGTTTTATTGCACAGTCTTTTTGTTCACTTTTGCTGTTTTGTCTTTTTGTGCGATCTCTTGTTTCATTTCAGCTTGTTAGATGTAGATCTTTCTTCCTTATTATTAAACCCCTTATACTACTGTATACTAGGAGTTTAGTATACAAAGGCCTTATACTCAACTCTTTAGAGACAGTTCTGTTTCCTCTATCTTCATTACAGACTTCCATCACAGTTATTGAAACTAGTGTAATAGTAGACAGGCTTCATAGTACTACTGTATATAAGACCTGTTTTCACCAAAGTAGGGATATTTCTGTTAAATCCATAGTGACTGTGGCTTGTAAACTGAGATTATTGAACCAGTTGCTTTGTTATTCTTTGACTACCCAGAACAACCAGTGCATGTGACAGAAGTGGATAGCCTCTTTAGGTGTTACGCTACACCTCCCAGGCTGACTCAGCAACACGAGTTTGACAACACAGTATCACGACTCTAACATAGGAAGGAACACAGTTTACATGTCAAACGTTTATCTAAAGGTAGAAACTGTTTGGCAAGGGAAGTTGAATGTGATAATCTCCACAATGAGGAACTGAGTCGTCTTGGTTTCCGAGTGCCCAACTAAAGCAAAACATTGCTCTTGTCTCGTGAGCCGAAAAATGGTGACTCAGCAGGAACAGGAGGCTTTTGTAAAGAAACTCAATCTCCAAGTTCAGCTCTACACCTGAAGCATATTTGCACAGCATTAACTGTAACTTTATCCACTAGCCTTCAGAGAATATCAATGTAATCCCTCAAGCAGGACACTCCATGCACTCCAATGCACCACTGAGGACAGCTTTGAAAATGGGTTGAGAATGGTTTCGGATAGTGTTATATTCTAACAATGAAAACATTTATAGATGATCTAATAATCGCAAATTTAAAGCAGCTAGATGTTGATTTTTATGGCATACTGAAATTAAACAAACGTGTTTTTGGTGGCATTTGAGCAAGTGTGCAAGACATATCTTCTTCCTTGGACTAAAAATGGAGACTAACAGGGCATTTCAACTGCTGTGCACTTGTAGAATTTTTTTATTTCATGCTTAAATACTGAATATAAAGATTGATTTAAAATATGAAAATATGAAAAAGTTCTTTATGGACCCCTTACTTTGTGTTACCTTCAATGGCAACGTGATGAACTTACCCGAGGAAAAACAGAGGGATGGCACAGAGTCCTGCCGACAACAAGAAGACAAAACCAGGGTACCATGCCACCGTAGCAGCATAGATACTGTTGAAGACTGCCGCGGATACATTGCTGGTTAAACTCTCCAGGAAGGAAACAAAGGCAAACAGGGCTCCTGAAAAACAGCACAGAGCAAAGAAGTAATAGGTGGTTATAGACTGTTTCTGTTGAAGATCATTTCCCCCCTTTAAACTTGGAGTGCCTTGTTCTCAAGTGCACTGTGAAGTCGTTTGGGCAGGCAACTCTTCATGGACTCTGACTCTACAAACACACACAGACATGGTTCTCTGGCTCCTGAAAAGCTCTAAAGGCACTTACCCTGCTCAGACTTTGAGATGATCTTTGACATCATGGATCGCAGGACAGGGAAAGGAACAACAGCCAGGAGCATCGGCAACCTCACTGTGGTAAACAAGTGACATACAACAGACATCATATCATATTAGGTCAAGTCAAATTATTTTTTAATTGACTTAAGGTTATGTAAACTTTGATATTATAACATTTTATAATGCAATTATTTCATTAAGTTCAGAAGATGCTGGAGCTACAATAACTTACACACCTTGTAAAGCTCGTGGGAAAGCTGCTGTCAATCAGTAACTTCAGCAAGAAGCCTGCAATGTTTATTTGACTCCTCAATTCTTGCTTTTTCATTGCTAAAATGTATCCATGCATCTAAAGTAATGCCCTCCAGCTACTTGTAATACATATATAATCTTACATTCAGTATGGCATGGTTTGCAACACCAAGCAGCTTCTATTTTTAAAATGTAAGAAGGGGAAATAGGGAAACAACCCATATGTCTGTGCCCTTCATTAAACTATCTAACAGTACTAAACTTCACTGTCAAAAGGGCATGTGTGAATTAGTGCAGGAACAAGTTTTGATTCTGTTTTTGTCATTCCTTCAAAGCTTAAATGCTTAAAAACAGGAGATTCAAACGACTGTACATTATAGTTTATGGAAGGACAGTTGGTATGGACGTTTTTCTCACCTAAAAACATGAGTAAAGTAGTCTTTGTGAAGCCCAACAGGATCATGCCCGATAGAACGGAGAGGATCCCTATCAGGATAATGAGCAGCTTTGGCACACCGCAGAAGGTGAACGCCGTCACTCCTGCGAAACTTGTCAGGAACACTGTGGAGGAAAGTGCTGCGCCGTAGCCAATCAGAATCTCCGTCCAGCATAGCGGCTCATTGAGCTCGTAAAGTGTAATCATGGAGCTCCCTCCAATGTAAGCGAAGGAGAAACTGGTGAAAATGAGTATCAGCAGCACCAGGACAGTTTTACACCTGCGGCTGGCCCCTGCAAACATCTGGTAGACCCCGTATAACATCTGTTTTATGGCAGAGGGCTGAGGAGACCCAACGATAACAGCGTCTGTGGGGGGCTTCTTCACAGTCTCTTCCAGGATAAATGTTGCATAAAAAAGGATCAAACATTGACACAATGCCGAGGTAACAAAAGGCCAGTTAAAGCCTGCAGCTCTCAGAAAGTAGCCTGTTGATATTGAAGCCAGCCCAGACAACAGGCCAATCATCATGTCCACACCAGCCATACGCAGCGTCTTCTGCTGATCATCCTCGCACAGGTCTGCTATGTAGGCGAAACAGCCGCCTAGAAATGTGCCCAAGCCGCCGAACAGAGAGCTGAGGAGTGAGGAGCCGATGAGCAGGTAAAGGTTGAGCTCAAAGAAGGACACTGTCAGGAAGGTCAGGGTGTAGAGCAACGTGCCAATCAAAGGCATGATGATCGTGATCTTGCGTCCCCCTCGGTCACTGTATGCCACAAGCATGAGGGTGACCACCAAGGAGGGGATGGTGGAGAAGAGCTCGGTGTAGAGGGAGAAGAGAGACGCCTGCTTCTGGACCTCCTATGAACACAGAAAGACAGAAAAAAGAAAAGTTATGTAGTAAGTCCTATATTATGCCTTCAAGCTAGAAACTTTTCCAACAAACAACACAAGTTAAACAGAGATTGTGACAATCTGGTTATCTAATTTTTTCAAACACATCATGTGATGTTTTCTGAATCATTGCCAGGTGCAGGAGGGGCTATTTTCAGATAAACAGCAGGCTTTTCTAGACCGGTTGGTTTTCTTCTCACTTCCCTGTTACGTTTCATGCTTCTTTTAAATGATGAAATAAATAATAAAAAGGTCTTGATACTTTTAAATGAAAAAAAAAAAACATTCTTCTTAGTCGTTTCTTAATGTTGTAAGTGTTTGTGTATGTCAGACTTGATTGCTGCGACTTGTTAAATGATAATGAAAATGAAATGGGTTTAAACTGAGTTTTACTCTTTAGCAAAAGTGTCGCTACAAAAATGTTATCACATTGTGTTTGTAAGTTCAGATCTGTAATCTTTAGTCTGAGTCCTCTTTGCATATCACCTTATGATGAAGTAGCTGAATATTTACCTGAGCTGTGTCGAAAGAAAAGATTTGAAAGGATTATCTGAAAGTTTATGCTGACTCATGTCTGTTAAGGGTTCAACACATTTATAGTTTTTGCAATACAAAACTGCCTCTCCATGCTTTAAAGTAAGACATTTCATTTTTTTTTTTCAACAGAGGGCATGACACATGAATCATCGAGTAAAAGTCACATGCATAACAGTGAAATAAGCAGAAAACATGTAGCGTACCCGAGGGAGCATATTCCTATTCTTAAAGGTTCTGTAAAAAGGTGTATATTTTTTTAATGTATTATAAAAATAATCCTCAGTTTAAATACTTGTTACACTGGTGGGTAGTGGTCACGTTTATATTAAGAAAACATATCCTTTACATGCTTGAAGTCATAGGAAAAAGCTAATAATAAAAATATAAAATGTTCCTAACATTGCCAATGGAGTACACTGACATAATTGAAGGCATGCTCTCTTATTATTATGATTATTATTATTATTATTGAAGTCAAACCTCATGGTAGAATGAGTGGCTGCTGTTGCTGCTGTTTGCACATCTGGACGCGTTGTCAGAAATGGGATAGGTGGTGTTTGTCAGCTGTTCCCACAGCCTCCGGTACACATACTGCTGAACAAGAGGATAGATGAGGAAGCTGGAGAAAGCGTACAAGGCAACCACCGGCTCGACAAGAAAAAGACCCTTCATTTTGAGGGTTTGTGATATGTCCTGCGAAGAGATGAAGAGGAGAAATTTAGAGATGAACATGGACAAAGAAAGACATTGTTAAAAAAAATCTTCACGCATGACAGTGTGTAAATAAACACTGACTTTTAAGCACAAGAGTCGTGAAATGAGGTAGGTCTGCCTTTGATAGGTCAATATAGGATTGTTGCAACCCTACTCACCTCAACCTGCAGGTACAGTGTGCAGAAGGAGCATATGACATCCACGTTATTGCTCTTACATTAATTTAAGTCTTGCGATATGGTCTACGTGGAAGTAAAGCTAAAAAAAAGTAATAATTAGCTGTTTTGCCTTTTCACGATTATAATTCGGACATTATATAAATGTTTTCAATACAGAGTGGGCTATGAGACAAATACCGAGTTTGTTTGTCCTAGTGTTCTGCACAATTAGCTGGGCTAGGTCAATATTCAAATGACACAAACAAGGAAGATACCGTCAGCTACCTTTACATTGGGCTATTTTGCTTATAGGACAAGTTAATGCAGTATAAAACTCACCTTCTAAACAGTCTATTGAATCATGTCTTCCTTAGTTAGTTACCCCGAGTCTAACATACTTCAAGGGGTCGGTCAGTTTATACGAACGAGTGCAAGGCGTTGTGTTATCAAACGACGGAGTCCCCGCCTCTCACCATCAACGATTGGTCAACGATCTAAGACTGCGCTTTGTTAATTTGACGGAGGACCTGTCAATCATTTGCTAAAGGCGGACGAGAACATGTTGTGACTATTTGTATATGGCTTAAAATCATTTTTTAACTAACAGGCCTAAAACATCTATCGGGCCTTTAGGATTGTATTTACCTGACTGTGGGGGAAGTTTAACGTATCAAGCTGGTGAAATATCAGTTTTTTATTTTTTATTTTACAAATTTCACGGTGTATTACGGTAACGTGAGGGGAGAGGCGGGGGCTCCGCTCCGGGATGTACCATTTGAGTCAACACACACCGGGGAAAGGATTTTTGTTGTGACAGCGGAGTAACAACCCGGCAGGGGGGGACACGGTAAGACGAAATGTGTAATCTAAATCTTCAATTGAGAATGCAACATCAAATACGTAATAAAGTATTAAAGTTTTACGCGGCGGAGTCTGCAGGCTTTCTGTTAAAGTAAAAAATCATCCCGGACGTGCAAGGTAGCACCACCATCAAAACACCGTCCGCTAGCGAGTCATAGCTTACCCCTGTGTGTTTAATTCAGCTAACGTGGCTAACGTTTATGGCTAGCTGTAGATACATGAAGGGCAAGCGAGCTGTTTTCGCTGGAACATTTTTGTCTCTCTTGTTTGCTTGTCTCCTCACAAAGCATTACCATTTTACGAAACCCAGCTAGCTTGTCCTGCCGCGGCTGCATTAAAGAGTCGTGACTGTCCGTGTCAGGATGGAGGATATTTGAGTCTCCTGGCCTGTCGTGTTCCCCTGCTGCTCATAATCTACTACGACTGTCATATTGAGTTCAAGAGGATATATGTTTTTTATTAATGTTTGTGCTAAGTAGTGTCCATCATTGGTAGGGTTATGTTACGTTATTTCGCAATGATGGTTTTCTCCCATTTGTGTTATGTTATTACACAATAATGTGGTCTGTTTCCTACATACATATGCACAATTTAAAATGATTTAACCTGCAATCTGAGTGGTTGTAAGTAACACATGTAATCTTTGCGAACTCTTTTGGTTCAGTCAAATTGTCGGTGACACAAAATGTAATCCCTTCATATTTTTGAGCTAAACATCCTTCATAGCAAGTGTTGTATTGTTAGATCACAGAGCGTCATAAAACCCTAGTAGGCTTTTTTAATTTCAAATGTTTTGTCTGACTGGGATTGGCTCTCATCAGATCTGCTGTAATTAACTGTGTTTGCTTTACAGGTTATAACATCAGGTTTTTTTTATCCATCTTGGCTACACGATGGCCTTCAGCAAGGGATATCGCATCTACCACAAGCTGGACCCACCTCCCTACAGTGTCATAGTGGAAACTAGGACCAGAGAAGAATGCCTGATGTTTGAGTCAGGGGCTGTTGCCGTTCTCTGTAAGGCATCCTCTTGTTTGTCTGCACTCCAGCAAGACATCATTTAAATAGTCTTTTACCTCTCGCCCCAAATAAGGATGTGTCGTAGGAATACTGCCATAACAGACAAAGAACTGAATTTCTGATGCTGGATGTGATTATTGACTATGATAATGCCAAAAGTGTGTTTAACTCAACATGTAAAGACAGAGTAAAAACCAATACATGTTCTATTGTGTTGCATTATTTTTGTCTGTAGCTGCAGCAGAGAAGGAGGCCATAAAAAACACATACACCAGGATTGTGGATGCATATGGAATCCTAGGCGTCCTCCGCCTAAACCTGGGTAAGCAACACAAGACATCCTCTCTAATTGCTGCTCAGCGCTACTGAAGTTTCCTGAATCCAGATTCTGATCTCAGGTTCTGGTGTAGCTGCCATGGCCCTCAGGTTTGTGAAGTCCTGTTGCTGCTTACTTATAAGCTGCTTTTTTCTGTCCTTCACATGACCTTGAAGGCTCTTGTTATCACAACAAGGGAAAATCTGTGCCAACGATTAAAGCTTAGTGTTATAGATGTCTGAGATTTGACTGGCTGGAGAGTTGCACCAATGTATAATTAATTACCATTTTGTGTCCATGCTCATAAGCGCAGTATTTTATTTTAAAACAAGTGCTACAAATCTATCTTGGATGGTTTTATACTTATTTGTCTTTTCTTTTTCACCATACTCCCCCTCATTCCTGCAGGCGACTCTATGCTTCACAGTCTGGTGGTTGTGACAGGATGCAGCTCTGTGGGAAAGGTGCAGGATTCTGAGGTTTTCCGAGTCACACAGACAGACTTTATATCACTGAAGAATGACCCAGGAGACGAGGACAAAATTTCTGAGGTCCGAAAGGTTCTGAACTCAGGCCACTTCTACTTTGCCTGGTCTGCCACTGGAGTCAGCATGGACTTGAGTCTTAACGCACATCGCAGGATCCTAGAAGACACTACAGATAACCGCTTCTTCTGGTAAAAGAATGAAATGATTAACTGTTCTTAGGTTATAAAGAGAATAGAATGCAGGCTTTAAAAAAAATCTCTGAACTAGTATAAATGAACTCAGTACATGTTCTGCAATCTGCTCATCCTTGTGATGAAATAGTCTCTTCTGATTGTGGGATATGGGGGCTGTGTGATTTGCAACCAAGGTGTGAAAATTCTCTGTTCACACTGATTTCTTTGTGTATTCACTGTTGTGTCCCTCTTAATAAACCAATAGGAACCAATCTCTGCATCTACACCTCAAGCACTACGGTGTAAACTGTGATGATTGGCTGTTGAGGCTGATGTGTGGTGGTGTGGAGGTCAGGACCATCTATGCTGGGCACAAACAGGCCAAAGCCTGCATCTTCTCCCGGCTCAGCTCAGAGCGAGCCGGCACGCGATTCAACGTCAGAGGAACAAATGATGACGGACAGGTGGCCAATTTTGTGGAGACTGAACAGGTGAGTCAGATTATTTTTATCAAATTAAATCTGATTCTAATATGCTCTGTTCATGGCAATACTGATATCAACGGATGTCAGAGCAGGGCAGATGGTACATAGACCAGGAGACAGTGACACACAAAACCTCAAACACACAATTTGTCTTTTTTTATTCTGCAATATAACAAAATAAAAGACAGTTAAGATGAGATGGGTGTGCAGGTCGTGGAAGAAGATGTGAGGGTTATTTTGAGTTGTCTCATGTGTTATAATAACAGTCAGCATTAATTCCATTGTAAACATTTTAGCCTAGTGAGGTGCGCTATGGATTACCATACACTGTATGAGCTGTTTTTGGATTAGCCCATTTAAATGCATATTGAAGTTGGTTTACAAATAAATGATGGAACAAGTGTAGTGTTTACAGGCCACTATGGAAATGCCTTACCCTCTGGGCCTGTTTTGTTTTTTCCAGTTCAATTAATTTGACCTTTTTAACATCTATCATAAGCACATTGTCTAAAGAGTCAGTTGACCTTGGTTTATACACTCTCTTTAAACACTGGTTATCCATTGACTGTTCAGGAGCAAATCTGGAACAGCATTGTGAAAGAAGACGTTATTTGTTTTAGCCTTTTTTTTTCTGACACTATAGAATGAAAATAATAATTATCGTGAATGCAGAGATAACAGAAGATTTAAAGGGAAATCCAACAGGAGGAGGAGGACCATGATGATTGTGATGATAATATATACCAGCTCAAGAGTTGATTGGTCAAGATAAAGTCTGAAGCTTTTTTTGTACTTTGGAATAGTTTAAAGTACCTTATTGAGTGAACTTCAACCCCATTAAGTATTCACCACTTATTGGCCAGTCAGCACATTGTCAAAAGCTAAATGTGAGTTTGATTATACAAGGTAACCTTTACGTTTCCTGTTATGGAAAGCACTTGTTTTGAATTTTCCCTTTTCATAGTTCCTGTTTCACTTCACAAACTAGTCCAGGTTCAGCAGAGTAAATTGAACTACCACAAGTGATGCTTAAACATAATGCCATGCAGAGTGTTTGTCTTGGATTATGTTGAATTGTCAGGTTTTCTTATTATTTTGGCCATAAAAATTAACCATAAATGATATAGCCATAACTGTAATACTGGTGATGAATGAATTTGGCCTTGGAAATACACCATCAGCATATCACACAATGCTTATTGTCATGATTCCTCTTTTACATTTCCTTAGTGTCCTACAGACACACATAATTGTATTGTCTACAACAATAAAGTGAAGTCATTTCACTCACTTCTTTATACAGTCATTGAGGAATTACAATTTTAGGATTTCCCCATCCATTGTTTAAATAATTTTGCTATATTGCAAATGAACTCAACCAAAGTTCCCTCTTTCTTGCAGGTTATTTTCCTGGATGACAAAGTCTCATCATTCATTCAGATCCGTGGGTCCATCCCTCTTTTCTGGGAACAGCCGGGTATTCAGGTAATGGAAAACAAATCTTTTCTGTACGGCCAGCTTTTGATCACAAAGGCGAGGTTTTCATATATTAGGCCACATTATATGAAAATCATAAAACCGCCCTCATGTTGTTGTCAAAGTCCTGAACAGTTTGTAAATGTTCCTGTTGAAGATAAGGCTCCGTCTCATCTCTTGCACACTGTGAGCGTAAACAGTGATCTCAGATGAAGCCTGTGTGGAGCTCTTGCAAACACGAAAAGACACATTTATTTTAACTGTCGGTTGGATCTGTTAAGACAAAACTTAGGAGTGATAAGTCTCCTCGTCATTACACTTAATATATCTGTTCTAGTTTTAACACATTTTGTCCATGCTGTGTTCAGAAAAAGTCCATTAAGGGTGTTTTGTTGCAACTGAATGAGAATCGGCACCGTAATGGTCTGGATGAGAACCCCCACCTGGTATAACTTTTACTTTTATCGGCTCTTTCTGGTGCTGGCGCTTCCATACTTCAGTTAACGGTTTCTCTGTACAATGTCAGAGACCAGGGGTGAAAACCAAGACAATCCCATTATTGACTTTTATCAAGGTCCCAAACATAGTACCTGTTCAAGGAATGCTATTTTTGACATGAAAAGCAGGAAGCAGGATCACCATTGAGATGGAGAACAACAACATCCTTGGCATTCTGCTGCCCTTGTCCTGACATTGCACAGACTACATCAGACGTGGGGGAGGTCAATGATAGATGCGGTGGTTGGTAAAGGGCATTTTTCTGTTTTCCTCAGCTCCCAGACATCTTTGGTCAGGTGAGAGCCTGGTCTGAAAGCATCCCCTAACCACTTCTCTTTGCTAAATCTGCTGTCATTTCCATACACCTGGATAGGTGTTAATTCATAATATGGCTGTTAAATTTCATTGAAGGCCAGTAAAAGCCAAAACCAGATTAGTCAACTATTCGGTGCCGAGGTCTATGGTTTGGTCAAAAGACAGGGAAGTGGGTTCAGGGTTGTTTTCAGACAGAACTGTAGTCCTTCTGCTTTTATAGCATTGTGTTAGTTTATAGTCCCCTCTACCGAATGTGGCTAGTAAGGCTTACTCTCTCCTCCCCTTTCTCTCTGATTCATTCCCTGAGCAGGATGGATAGTCTCAGTTTAATCCAGAGGAAGAGTTGTTGATCTCTCTACAGTTAGTTTACATTAGACATAGTATTGACAAAGTGTCTTTATCATACTTGTAGAGTAGAATGATGAAACTCTGCTGGAAAAGATGCAAAAAGATGGCAGGGGCGGCTGACTTTTAGAATTGTCTAAAGACGAGATCTTAGTTAACTGCTTTATTGCTTGTTGTGTGGAAGGTACCTTTATTGGCATAAGTCATTAGTTGTAAAGTCAGATAAACATTTTACTTAAATAGACACGCAATTAAAACAAATTCCTTTAAACAAATGTATTTAACACAACCAAATAATATGAATTCAAACATTTGTTGAATTAACAGAAGAAATCATCAACGGATGTTACAACTCGATAAGCCAAGTTACACTGCAGGTGTTGTCTGTAATTTGTTCAGTTTGTCTAAATGGTAAAGGGCTTTTGGCCTGAGGTGTACAGCTGCAACCTGACTCCTTTTCAGATGCCATCTCAGGAAGTTATTAAATATGTATAGACCGGCACAACAGGAGAGAGAGAGAGAAAGAGCGAGAGAGGGGACAGAGTGACAAAACAGCAGCAGCATGGAGCAAAATGTCTAGATCTGCTACTGACAATGACTCAGTAGATCCCAATAATGTCTGCAGAGCAAGTATAGTAGCTATTTGAATTGATGGCTTTAGAGATATATCAAGTGTATGCGACCTGTGACAGTAATTGAGGGACCATAGGGAGGAAAAGGATGCAGAGAGTGAATGGTGCAGGAGGAATGATGATTTGATTAGCTTCGTTTTACTTCATTTGATGACAAGCTATCAGAGAGAGCAAGAGTGGAGATGTGAAAAGCAGGAAAATAAAGGTATGCAATGTTTTTGCACAGACGCAGAGGTGTTAAGAAACAAGGAAACGAGTAAGGGCCTGCAGTAATGAAGGAGTAGATTTCAGTTCAACAGTGACTGCGCAAGCCTCCTGCTAAGCCAGGCAAGGTGTGGTCGTGACTACTTTTACCCCTCTGCATTTCGAATGATTTCAAACATTATGCCCTCAAAATGGGAAAGTATATGAGAATTAGAGAGACAAAAAAGCAAGAAAGTAATCCACTTAAAGGTCACATTAAGGTGTTGAAGATATGACGGCCACATGTGTTTCTTTACTGCTCAATGTCTTTGTCTCTGTATGAACAAGCCTCCTCATGCTGCCCCCGTGTCACTGTTATCCTATGTCATTGTTGTTGTTTTTTTTTTTTTACACTTTAACGTTCTTCTTTCCACTGTTCAATCGTTATCCGAACTCTCTATCCAAACTTCATTCTGCCCCGCCAGGTTTTCTGTACATCTGCAACACGTTTGTTTGCAGAACTTCTCCTTTTTAAAGATCTGATTTGAAGTGCTAAAGAGGAGTTACTAGTGTCTTCTTCTTCTTTTTTTTTTGTCTTTTCTCGTTGTGTCCACTCTGCAGGTTGGCTCTCACCGTGTCAAACTCTCCAGAGGATTTGAGGCAAATGCACCAGCATTCGAAAGGTCATTACATTTTTCTGTGTAGTGTGTGTGTGTGCGTGTGTACACAAAGGTTTTGTTTGCATATGTACCAGATTCCAGCAACTTTATCCGGCCTCAAACAGATTACCACTGCTCTGAGGAGTGAGGAGACACAATAATACTACACATGTCTCCTGCAGTTACCTCCAAAGCGCGATAGAGAAAAGCTCTCCACACTCTTGGAAGTGAAAATGTTAATTGAAGTGTGTCCTTAGCGGCCAGTTTATTGCAGGGATCAGGAAGGACACATTAGCTGCCCTTGATTAGCTGTCGACCTTAATAACCTTTATTTTACATCCATTGACAGCAGTTAAAGTCCTTCTTTGATGGTTGCACATCTCTTGGAATTGAAGTGTTTTTACTGTTAGACACAAGTCATGAACCTGACAGCCTAATACCACAATATATGTATTGTAAACACGTTCATTGAGTTATCATTACACACTTTTGAAGTATGTGAAGATTCTCTCCAAACTATGCTGTCTTTATCTTACACATGTCTCTCAATGACACATTCATTTAACCCATAATATATTAAAGTAAAAATGTGCTCTGATTTTTCCTGTTGGGTAGACACATTAGAGATGATGGATAGAGAGTATCTCCCTTTTCAAGTGAACTTAAAGACACTTTAGTCATGGATTCTCTGGGCCTGAACACTGACCCCTCTAGAGAAGAGTAAACAGCCTTGATCTCTCTTTGAACTACTTTCTGTAGCTTTCATATTGTTAATCGATTGGTAGGATTGATTAATTGATTGAAAATAAAGATTGCTGGAAAGCTTTGAAGACCCTTTGTGGTTCTTCAGTAGAACTCTTTGACTTCAGGACTGAGCACAGTATTCATGTCCTCGACTTATTGATATCTTGAACAAGCCGAGACTAGCACGTCAGCTGCTACACCATTTTGAGGGATTAGTCATATTTTCACAATTGTACTTGGCAACACAATTTTTATGTCTCAGTATCTGTCCAGACCAGCTCTCACAACTCAGCCTATGTAACATGCACACCGTTTTCTGCCTGGGTAATTTGTTTCAGTTGAAATTCCTTTGATAGTACAAGGAATCTTTTTTTATAAACACTGTCTGATGGATGATGATGCTGCTGCTGTTCCATCCATTTTTAAAATGTAATACACCAGTTTGATACAGAGGCTTCAGGTTATTGAAGTACATGGCACTATTCCTAATTCACTCTCCAGTCTCTCCAACTTCACAAAAACAACCAACCTAAGAAACGGTCTTAACGAGTACACACTGTAATCAGTCTGTATCTTAAATGTACTGCGCTCTTTCATCTACTTTAGTGGAAGAAAGATGCATGAAAATGCAAATCAGCAATGAAACTGTAGTGTAGCTTTTAAATTCTTTGGGGGTTATTTCGCTTAGTTGGATCTAAAAATGAAATATATCGCTTACAGATCTGTGTGCTGTCTCTTTACTGTATAAACGTGAGCTTCAGTGGTTGATGTGTGATGTTATGTCCGAGAGATCACATGTGTAGATGTAATTATGTCAGGATAAATGCCGTTATTGAACTAGTTCTGTCATTTTAGAACTTCACATTGCTTACTGTATGTGTTTACGTGTTCTCCAGACACTTCACGGCACTGCGGAGGTTGTACGGTAAGCAGGTGATCATCAATCTGCTCGGGAGTAAGGAAGGCGAGCACATGCTCAGCAAAGCATTTCAGGTGAGATTAATATTCTATGTTTCTTAACACTGTCGTCATGACATTTATCAGCTCCTCTCAAAACAGACTTAAGTCCATAACTCACAGGCAGAAGGTCATAAGTATCAACATGTACACACTGCTTTTATTCTGTGTGTAAACCCTCTCACTAGCAACACACCTTCATCTGTTTGGTAAAACTTAAATGACCATATTTGGAATGTCAGTCTTGTCTATTAAAAGGAAACAAATGTGTTAATATCTTAAGTTGCCCACGTGAGACATGACGTGTATTTTCACAGATCACAATCAACGTTTCTAGTGAATTCAAGCTTATAGTTTCAAAGCAGTGTTGTTTCATACATCCGGGCAGCATGAATTGCCAATGAAACATTTTTGCATTCAGTTTAATTTGTGGGATTAAGTCTACTTCCTCTCTGTGTTCCTTTCAGAGTCACCTGAAGGCTTCAGAGCATGCTTCATACGTGAAAATGGTGAACTTCGACTATCACCAGAATGTGAAGGGAGGCAAGGCTGACAAACTCCACAGTGTCCTCAAACCCTACCTCAGCAAGTTCATCGAGGAGTGTGGCTTCTTCTACTACTCGGGAGAGACGGGCATCGCAAGGTGAGAAACAAATGCAAACATGTATGTAGTTTTCTTGCATGTGGTTTTTGTTATTCCTTCTGAGCATTAGAACGTTTCTTTTTTTTAGGAGTCAGGGTGGGACCATTAGGACAAACTGTCTGGACTGTCTGGACAGAACCAACAGTGTTCAGGCCTTTTTTGCCCTTGAGGTAGGAGGCTGACAGAGTGTTCATGTTCTGTGATTACGTCTGTGAAATCTGCAGTCCATTGTTTGAAAGGGATTATGCTCTTGATCTAACACCCCCCCCCCCACCTCCCTCCCCCGGTCCTTACTATACTAGATGCTGCCTAAACAGCTGGAGGAAATGGGTCTGACAGAGAAACCCCAGCTGGTGGCCAGGTTCCAGGAGGTTTTTAGGACCATGTGGTCTGCCAACGGAGACTCGGTCAGCAAAATCTACGCAGGCACTGGTGCCCTGGATGGCAAAGCTAAGGTACACAAAGCACAAAAACATGCACATTTATAGTTTAACACCAGAGGAGATCCTTTGATTCCTTAGATTTTTTTTTGCATTTCATGTTCTTTAATAGTGTCAGTTAAACTATCAGGTCATGTAATCAATGTAATCTAAGTTTCCAACAACTGTTGAAACTTGCTGAAGAAATAAAGTTGTGTATAATAGCATTTGATTAACAATCATTTCTAATTGAGAAAAAGTGGATCTTGAAGGTGTTGTGGGTCTTTATTTTTTTTTTTTAAGCTAAATGGACGTCAATGTTTGAATCAGTGTTTATTTCTAAATGTGTAAAAGGCTGAAATAGACAATCCTGAGAAACACTTGTAAAATCATATTTCCTTGTAGTTCTGGGTCTCCCACAATAACTGACATTGACACCTCAAGAGCAGGCCGATGTCAGAGCATGATCAGAGGGGAACTTTAATGTTAAAAAAAAACCAAACAGAAGTGGCATACTACCACTGTTCAAAGGGGCTATGATAGTGGCGTGTTTTGCATTGTGCATGCAAGTGACAGAGTTGATCCCCTCTGTTTGTAGAGGTGTGTGTGTGCTTCTGTTTCTTAACTCTCGTGTGCTGTCTCTCTCTGCTGTCCTCCGGACCTCTCTCTCTGTGTGGTAAGTGAACGACCCGCTCCATGTTGTGTTTGAGCAGTGGGACCTTCTGGTGCATTATTGATTTCAGTGTCTGTGGGTTCAAATGATGTTAATGTCGATGGAGGATGGGTTAGGTTAGACCTCTTGACCAAAAAGAATCCCCTTGAGGTATCTCTGTGATAAATTCTGTCTTGACCTGGCAACTTTTGAAAGCTCCACAGAGATATTTACTGATCTTCATCAATTAAGTAAAAATTTGCCAGTGTCCTTGATTGTTGAGTGCTCATTCTTACTGCAGTTTCCGTTCTGATTTTTGCCTCATGTATTTGGCAACATCTAATGTGTGATTGGATAAACCTGAAGGAATCAATCCAAAATGTCACTTCATCAAATTATGCTGCAAAAATATTTCACCTTGTGAAGCAGTTTTGATCCTTCATGGACTGCTGAATAAAGTGGCATCTTATATCTCCCTGATATGTTCCTCCTTTTCTTCTCTTCCATGCATGAACCACATAAAAGTATAGCTAATAAATCAGATGTTTCTATCTTATTTCTTTCATTTAATTGTCTGTGTGTGTCTGTGTGTGTCTGTGTTTAGGCGGGAAAGCTTAAAGACGGAGCCCGTTCTGTGACGAGGACGATCCAGAACAACTTCTTTGACAGCTCAAAGCAGGAAGCTATAGACATCCTGAGGCTGGGCTCCACACTCAACAGTGACCTGGCAGACAAAGCGCGGGCCTTGCTCACTACTTCCAGTCTTTACGGTAATTATTTAAAACATGTGTAGTATGAGAAATCCATTATTGAGAGAACTCTTGATATCATGTCTAAAATTTGTGAATGAATAGCGTCACAAATGTAAGGTCTGGCCCTTTCTCACATGTCACATCTTCTTCATTTCTGTAATAGTAGTGTTTAGAATACATTTTCCTTGTTTCCCTGGAATTGTTTGAATATTTTGACAAGTTTAAACCAGCATCTGTTGTAGCCAGAAGCCGATCCGCACAAAAGCACGGTTTGTCCTCTGCTCTTTGTCAAGAGGGAAGTGTAATCTGTGTGTGTCAGCTCTCTGTCCCAGTAAGATTAATGCTGACCTACTGCTCTGCTGGCACTATCTGTCAAAGCACTGGTTAACCCGCCCTTCTCTCCCTTCTCTCTCTCTGCTGCCCTTGCTCACAATCTTAGTCACTGAGCCGGTCTTACAATCAGGTATAGTAACTCATACTGCCCCCAGTGGATGGAATTCCTCACCACATAGTTGTCCTATCATTTGTGTTTGCTCGTTGTTGTTCATTCATTTCTAATCCAATGCTGGTAGTGGTTTAAGCCTCCGCCTGTTGCATATCATCAGGCTTTTGAAAAAGTGATTAAAAGCAAGAGGATGGAGAATTATGCAATGACATTTGACATCAACCACAGTGGAAATTTACAGACATAAATAAACCATTACCATAGTTGATTATTTGAATGTCATCTGTATTTTAGCAACAGTTCTGCTCTGTTTCCTTTCCTTACTTCCACGTCCCATGTTTTAAAAACATTGTTTCTGTCTCCCTCTTTTGTATTTGAATGTTTTCCCATTTGTTCTGATGGTTTTAATTAGCCCCCCTTCCTGCAGAAACAAACACACACATTCTCAACCCTTTTACACTCTAATCTTTTCTCCCCTCCACAGCCTCCCCAAGAGTATTGCTGGGAATGTGTCAGAACTACCAAAAATACACAAGGCCCAAGCAGATCCGGGTGTGCGTCGGCACCTGGAATGTCAACGGGGGTAAACAGTTTCGCAGCATTGCTTACCGCAATCAGACACTTAACGACTGGTTGTTGGACGCTCCAAAGAAAGCAGGTCATCCTGAGTTCCAGGGTATGTTCATTCATCTTCATTCCTCAGCAGTAAATGTTTTCTAAATCTTTTTTTTTGGTGAGAATTAGAGGAGAGGATCAGTATCACATACGCGTAATCATGCCTGTATGTAATAAGTTACTTTAAATACCTTTAGACTGAAAATGGGGGGGAAAAAATGTCATCAAATATTTATACCTGTAACAAAATTACTTTTGTCTTTAACGTGAATATTTTCTTTCTACAGACAGTAAAGCCAACCCCATAGATATCTTTGCCATTGGTTTTGAGGAAATGGTTGAACTGAACGCTGGAAACATTGTCAGTGCCAGGTACGTACGTGTGCAAGCTCTCTGCCTGAAATAACAAGCCTGAATCTGTCATGATTGATTTCTGACTAAAACGTTTCAGAATTTTCTCTCAAAGATCATTACAATCTGCTGCTTAAGCCTGATTGGACAAGAATATTCTCACTTGTCCAAGCTTGAATTTTTTGTTGTTGTATGTTTTTAAGGAAAGAACAAAGAGGATTAAGTAACGTCAAAAATATAATATGTTTCCCCATTTCTCATTTGAAGTTTTGTAGGCTTGTTTTCCTTCTTTTTCTGTGTCTTCACTACGACTCATCTTTCTGTTTTGGCCTCAGCACTACAAACCAGAAACTTTGGGCAGCTGAGCTGCAGAAAAACATATCCCGGGATCACAAGTACGTGCTGCTCGCTTCAGAGCAGCTGGTGGGCGTGTGTCTGTTTGTTTTCATCCGCCCGCAGCACGCTCCCTTCATCAGGTATGAATCTTACATGATGTATATGAATCATGATCTAAACTCCACAGGTTTCACAGTCGTGGTATCAAATGTAATCTTGGTGTTTTAATTTGCTTTCCAGGGATGTAGCCGTGGACACTGTAAAGACTGGAATGGGTGGGGCTACAGGTAACAAAGGAGGTGTTGCCATCCGCTTGCTGTTCCACACCACCAGCATCTGCTTCGTCTGCTCCCACTTTGCTGCTGGACAGTCACAGGTGAAGGAGAGGAACGACGACTACAACGAGATCACACGCAGACTCACCTTCCCCATGGTAACAACCGGCATAACTAGATCATTTTAGACCCATTTTTGCACAAAACAAAGCATAACCTTATCTATCTTGTCCGTGCCAGGGTCGTCTGCTATACTCCCATGACTACGTTTTCTGGTGCGGAGACTTCAACTACCGAATCAGCCTCCCCAACGAGGAAGTAAAAGAGCTGATCAAACAGCAGAATTGGGAGGCTCTGACAGCAGGGGACCAGTTATTTGACCAGAAGAATGCTGGTTTGGTATGAAATATGTCACGCCTGCATGTTTACATCACTGATAACTTTCACTTCCTCTAAACAGGAAACAGTGAACAGTAACTTTGAGCTTTGGTTTTATTGCCTTTTTGAATGCCAGGTTTTCAGAGGTTTTATCGAGGGGAACTTAGATTTTGCCCCCACCTACAAGTACGACCTCTTCTCTGAAGATTATGACACCAGTGAGAAATGCCGCACGCCAGCCTGGACTGACCGCATACTGTGGAAGAGGAGGAAGTGGAACTTTGACAAAACTGGTAATATGGGTCGCCTCTTACCCACTAAAATAACCTCCTTCCCTAACTTTCAGACCTCTTTATGAGGAAAAGGGAAAACTTGTAGAATATATTTTAAGATTTGCCTACCTGCTTTCTTGTGTTCTGTACTAAAAACTGAGCAAGTCAACACTTCTGAAACAAGAGGATACCTTATCTTGCTATTCCTGTTTCATATATGTGTTTTTGTATTTTTTTGCAGCTGAAGAAATGAATGTAGTAGGGGCAGCTTCTACATCTGCGGAGAATGAGGACGATCCTGAAAACCCTTGGCACCCTGGTACACTGAAGTACTATGGCAGGGCCGAGCTAAAGACCTCAGACCACAGGTGAATAACAATATTCATAGTACATTTATTTCAAGTTGTGATAGTTTTATGACAGCTGTGTCATTTTCTGCATTTCCCCTTTATGTCACATCAGTGCTTGAGTTGCACAAGTGAAACGTATTCCTCTTACTCAAGCTCTTTTGTTCTTCCCTAGGCCTGTGGTGTCAATAATAGACGTGGACATCCTGGAGGTGGACCCAGAGGCTCGGCACCAGGTCTACAAAGATGTCATTGCTCTGCAAGGACCTCCAGACGGCACCATCCTTGTGTCGCTCTGCTCCTCCGGCCCTGACGACTACTTTGACGACCCCCTCATAGACGAGCTGCTGGACAAGTTTGCTCAGTTTGGAGAGGTCATCCTCATCAGGTGAGTTTGAATATTTTAAAAAGAGACAGACATGAATCACCCTCAGACTGTAAGACTGTGTTAACAAATGTCCCCTTTTTTTTATGCAGATTCGTTGAGGAGAAAATGTGGGTGACTTTCCTGGAAGGTTACTCTGCTCTTGCTGCTCTTTCTCTGAGTGCTTCCACTGTAAGTCAGAACTGTGTTAATAAAAGACTTAATACTTCAGAAGGCATTAAAACACTGCTTTAGGTCTGTTACTCCTTTTTACATCAGGTTTATACCTGATAACTTCTGCTTCTCTCTTGTCTCACTGTAGGTGCTTGGCAAGATGATTGACATCCGCTTGAAGAGTCCAGGTTGGATCAAGAGTCTAGAGGAGGAAATGAGTGTGGAGAGAATCTGTGGAAGCATCCCCACCTCAGCTAGCTCCACCCTGCTCGCGGAGGACGCTGACATGGGCGATGATGATTACGATATGGAAGGTAAGTGGTAGGATCAGGAAATCAAACAGCAATCCTCACAAATGTGGATGGTTGATGATTTTACTGAAACATTTGTACAATGGGCTGTTGTTTTAGCACTTTAACAGGCAGCTATTCCTGTCTTCCTGTCTTCCTGTCTCCTGTACAAGGTGATGTGGATGATGAGGTGGAGGAGATTCTTCCCCAGCACCTGCAGCCTGGTGCAGGGTCTGGCCCTGGATCTTCCCCTCTCCCCTCCCCTCGCAGCAGTCCTTGTTCCTCCCCCACCCAAGGCGAACCCACCGCTCCCAGCAGGCCGAGTCGCTCTGCGCAACCTCTGAGACCATCACAAGGTAATTACAGCATGTGTAGCAGGACTTAACACCTGGAATCAAGTTACTAAAGTACCACCCAATCACCTGCTCAGACTGCAGCCTGCCTGCTGAGATGTAAACTGTAATTTTGTTCTGTTTTGTAATGAATCAAAGCAGATTTTAGTCCAGCTTTACAGAGGAGAGACATTTCAGGTAAAATACAATATGTGTGTGTGATGATTTAACTGATGTTTGGTGTTAGAAAGCGTGTGGTGTGTCTAACAGTAAACCACTTGTTTCCTTTAGAAAAATGTTTTCTTGTTCAGTAGTGAGATGTTTGCAGTGTTGGCTTTAACTTTTTTCTGGTCAGTTCTTCACTCTTTGTCCGAAAAAAATAAGGCAGTTGTTGAGAGCTATTTTATTTTAGACTACCAGAAGCAGGGCATGTGACTCGTTATAAATCTGACCAGTGTGTAAAATTTTCCATAATGTTATATTTATTTAGGAAAATTGGCTCAAAAACAAAGAAGTGAACTGTATAAAAAGGGTGAAATGCTACAAAAGTATCTTGTTAAATTGTACTTATTTAACAACTGCAGGTCTTTGTGACCTTTGGGTATATTTTATCTTGATCTTATTCAAGAAATTAGGCTCTATAAGACAGAAAGTTTTACCAGGGCAAAACGTTTCTAAAATAATTTTTCAGTTTCGGGGTATCGTTCATTTTTCGGTGGAGAGTATAGACTGTTTATTACATTTTTTTAATGGATGATTTCAAATGTGTCTTTTTTTTTTCCTTTCAGGGCCCCCTGTTGATTTTCAGCCTGGTGCTCCCACATCTCTGAACCTGGAGCCCAAACGCGCTCCTCCCCCTCGTCCCATTGCTCCACCAGCCAGACCTGCACCCCCTCAACGCCCACCACCACCATCAGGTAAAGCATCTACTATCTTTCCATTAAATGTTGATATCGATACATTTGAATGACCGAAATTAAGCCTGTTTTTTTTGGATTAATTTAATAATATTCACATCTTTATATACTGTTTAGAGAATACTTTTTCAGCATGGTAAAATAGGAGATTCTTCAGGCAGATGTTTAACATTTTCACCTTTATCCCACTGCTTCACCTCCTTTCTGAAGGAGGCATGAGCCCCCTGCCAGTTAGAAGGGCCTCTGGAGGTAAAGTGATTGCTATAGAACTGTGTGCTTTCATTGCTCAAGCATTTAAAGTTTTGGCTGTTTTTTGTTTTTTCAACTACTCATAAGAGAATGACATTGCATTAGTGCTGACTCAGTAGGTTGTCATCAGCTCCTATACTCATACACATCTACTATCTTTCTTGTAAACAACCCATTAAATGTTGATATCCTTACATTTAAATGACCGAAATGAAGCCTGTTTTTTGGATTAATTTAATAATATTCACATCTTTATATACTGTTTAGAGAATATTTTTTCAGCATGGTAAAATAGGAGATTCTTCAGGCAGATGTTAAAACATTTTCACCTTTATCCCACTGCTTCACCTCCTTTCTGAAGGAGGCATGAGCCCCCTGCCAATTAGAAGGGCCTCTGGAGGTAAAGTGATTGCTATAGAACTGTGTGCTTTCATTGCTCAAGCATTTAAAGTTTTGGCTGTTTTTTTTTCTCCATCTAATCATAAGAGAATGACATTGCATTAGTGCTGACTCAGTAGGTTGTCATCAGCTCCTATACTCTGCTAAGCAATCGCCATAATAAGGGCAATTATATTGTACTATGACACACTGAAGAGTCACAGCTTGTGCCAGAACATAATTTTAGACTTGCAGCCTTGTGTTTGGAGAGAGCTTTCCCCTGTGTTTGCTGAGTCATGCTTGATTTTAGTTTGACCACTCCTACATCAGGTTTGTGTTCATGAGAAGTTCAAAATGTAGTGATTTAGCGTCTTGTCCCTCCCCTTAGGTGTGATTTTGGTTGATGTTAATATCTATAGAGATAATGGAGCTTGTCTAGCAATACTTTTTAAAATAATCCTCTATTGTGGTAAACCTGTGAGAACTGTTAAAGTGGCATTAAGTGTCCCAAACATTGTTGCTCATTTGAATTTGTTTGTTGCAGGTGTTACTGTTAGGTCATTATGTGAATTATTTTTATAAATTTTTTTTCAATTTGTGCATCCTACCATGCAGCTAATATTCTTAATTTTTGACTTTTTCCCCTGCTTTTGTTAATCCTAAAAAAAAAAATACTGTTTCCCTCCTTTGACCAAAGACTGTGGGAAATGTCCCAGCCCACTGCTCGGTAGGCGAGGCAGTGAAGGTAAATGTCGCTTGGTCTTTAAATGTCATCAGACGATCCCTGTAGTCTATAACGCCCGGCCATCAATGTAATTGATGCTTTTTGACAATGATGTGTCACAGTTGACCAACTCTACATCATTGTGGGCTACCGTAGTCTTGTTTATGTGAGTAGGAGAGATGTGTTTTTCTAGCCTGTTGGGAAAATGTATCTCACTTATTTATGAAAAATAAGCAGGGGTTGCAAAATCAGAAGAAAGTTGTCAGGCCAGAGGGACCATGTGCATTCTCACAATTAATTTGCAACTGAAGGCAAATTCAGATGGATTTGTTCATCCACATTTAGTACCTTGGTGACCGTCAGACTGTTTGTGTAAAACATCTATAACAATTATTACAAAGTAAATGGCAAATGGACTTGAGCTTGTATTGCGCTTTTCTAGTCTTCTGACTACTTAAAGGTGGAGTCAGTGGCATTGTTAGCTGTAGATTGAAACACAACATTCAAACTGGGCTCCTCCTCCTGTGCTCATCACCCCAGAAACACACACTCACTGCATGATGTAGTGTGTACAATTACTGCTTGTACCTACACTGCAAGCTACCGCACGCTACCACAAGCTAAACTCCTGTGTGTGGCTCCTGCTTGTCCGACAGAAAGCAGGCCAACTCCACGTCCACTGGTGTAAACAAAGTTCACCCTGGTTTTGGAACGAGCCGTCTCTGATTGCTGTTTTGCCACTCTGTGATTATATTTTCTCTTCATTGCCGCCACGTCTGTCATATTCAAATCTGAATCCCATCCAATCACTGAATTGTACACTCCTAAACTCAACTGCCCGCTGTCATTGGCTGGGGGAAACACGCTGGCTGTCCGCCCTGAAACGCCCCGTGTCAACCCAAACAAACCAGAACATCAAAATCAGGGCAGAGGTCACCACCACACATGTATGGAGACCCATAAGTGATGATTGAGTGACATTACTTTTTTTTTACAAGTCTATATTTTATTTTTTAGTGAAAAAGCTACTGACTCTTCCTTTAATGGGCTTTTATACCGCAGGTCACACACTGATGGCACAGGCTGCTATGTAAAGTGTCCATCAGTATTTTTAACTAATCTACTACTGCCATGAAACTCCATTCTGATTGGTACAGTGCATGAGCAACTCTTCACAAAGATAGGAATGAAGTAAGATGGCTCATTGGCAAGTTACTTTTGTACATACTGTGTATGCTGTTCATGCTGGGTTGGGGTCATACGGAGGTTGACTTGACTGTAATATCTGGTGCATAACACTTTGACAAACCCTTTGATTGAGACTTAAAATAGTCTTCAAGTCAGCTGGGCTGCACTAATCCTGTATGATTAGTGGTGAAATTGTTCAATTGCAGGGAGATATTTATACTTGTAGTAGCATCTCAGGCTTCACTGCTGCTGCAGTACTATATTACCGCCATATGCTCCTCCCAGTGATTATTTTAAAGTTAAGAGTCATTGGGAACAGATGCTTCCTGTTACAAGTTTTTCACTTCTGTATAACAGTAATGTGGTTTGGTTTCCTTTGTGCTGCAAAGGACCAAAAAGCCCTGCTCTTCCTCGGCCAGAAGCTGCTGCAGGTGAGTGTCACAAACACAAAGTAGCCGCAATAAACACGGATGGAGCACAGATGAAGAAACAAAATATATATATTTTTTTCCCCCTGATATCTGTATTGCTGGGATTGATGTGGATCTGTCTACTGTGATAATGTGCTCTGTGTTTATGCCCTGGTACAATTTATGCCTGTACCAGGGTGTCAGATAGGGTTGAGTTTCTTGGCCTATCGGTGACTTGGCCTCCCTCCCCCTGTTCTACTTGTAAGGTGTGTGTATGTGTGGTTAGCTGAACCCTCTGTCACAGTACAGTAAGCGTGTGTGTTGTCAGCGGGTCTGACTGGTGTTTGGTGGGTGTACAGTAAACATGCAGACATCTAAGTGTCGTGGGAACATGTTCACAGGCTCTGAGAGGGCTTCAGCCAGAGAATAGTGAAAGGAAGGTGTGTGCTTACACGTTGCTGTGTGGGGAGCTGTTGGCTCCCAGAACAGGGCCTGCCTCTCCTCCAGACCTCCTGCAGCTGCTCAATGACTGAGTCATCATTCTGATAATGAGTTTAGCCACTGGGAATTTGTCCTTTCATAGTTTGGAGTGGGTTTTCAGTTCTTGAATTAGTTGGTACATTACAACTGTGAAGTCAGTTGTAGCCTTTCTTAATACACAAAAGCATTATTTTTTTGTTTATTGTTGTAATGTGTCTGGTTTGTTTGTCTTAACTCTTTCAGGTCGAGGCCAGGCGACGGTTGGGGCCCCTGGTCTGGGGGGTATATCCAGACCGGTAAGTGTTTAACTCTGATTTTTTATATATGTATTTTTTTAATATATATATATTTTTAATCTATATATATTTAATGCAATTTGTTAATTTCTCTCTCTTCCTTATTTCTTAATCAGAACATTCCTCCTCGAGCTGGGGTAATCAGCATTCCCCCTCAGTCTCGCCCATCACCTCCCTCGCACCCTGGAGCACCAAGACCCATCCCAGAGGTGCATCCCGGGGCCCCTCGGCCCATCCCAGACACCCACCCAGGAGCCCCACGACCTGTGCCAGGTGCACAAGCCAAACCTCCTGACCTGCCTCTAGGTACAGAATTGTTTTGTTTTGTTTTTCACAGATGACAACATTCTTATATTTTTCATCCTTTCATCCACATTAGTGTGTTGCGGTGACTTTAAGACGGAACTCTGTACTATGTCTTCACTCAGGTCCTCCACCCTCAGGACCACCCCCAACAGAGCCCCCTGCAGCAAGACCCCAGGTTCCATCATCCATGCAGCCCAATCTCCCAGCTCCACTCCAGCCACAGCAAAGCGCGGCTGCTGCTCCTTCTGCTGGGTCTCCACAGGCTCTCTCCTCTCCCAAACCACCACCACGTTCCCGCTCCTCTCATGCTCTGCCACCTGATGCTGCCAAGCCTGAGACAGCCCCAGCTGCACAGGTTGGTGCCAATGATCTTTTAAATGAATTTTTGGGGAATTTCAGCTGCTGAGCAAAGAACACTAACCCACTCATCTATTGAGTACACTGATGTTTCTGCTTGCATGTAATTCAATCTTGTACTAAAAAGTATTGCTCCTGCTCTGATTATTAGACAAGATATGTAATGCTAAATCATGACAGATGTAGGAGGCGAGGTCTGCAACTCTTTCTGATCCTTTGTCTCTCTTCTGATGAGCTTAGTTGTCTGTGTCACTCTTCCTGCTTTTGTCTCTCTGATTCATTTGTCTTTCTCTCACAAGCTGGAGAAGCCCACAGGGTGAAAGGTACTTGATATTAAACCACCTTTTTGTCTCATCCTCCATAGCACAACAGTCCTCTGGTCTGATGTTATTACGTCTCTCATACATCGCACCCAGTAACCCCCTCCTAATTCATTTTGTAGTTGATTTTCTGTCCTTTTACCTCTCCTCTTCTCTTATTTTAATTTGGATGTTTGTAGTCAACTACAAGGCCATGTATTGTTGTGTGTTAGACTCACAAAATGGAGCATAATTTGTGTTGTTTTTCCTTGTTTGTCAACATATCAAACCATCTTGTCATGAAAAAGGAAAACATATAAATGTGATTTTTGTTTGCCATTTTCCTCTCAGTCGTCCTTTCATATCTGCTCACTGTGGTTCAGGTGCTGAGAGTGAACACATATGCAATGACATTTTGTTTGATTTGTCATTACGTTTAATTAGCTTTACTTCCTTCATTTGTATTAGTTAATGATTGTCAGTACACACATCAGTACTCAGAGTTGTACATGAAACACAGCACATGTTTTAAAAGTTGTTTTTTTTAGATGTAAGCTAGCTTAAAGATACCCTGTGGAGTTTCTAAACCAATAGAGCCATTGTGGATCAGAATGTTTAAAAAAAAAAAATCAGGTCCTCGATGATTTTATGTGGGCAAACTTCAATGTGCAGTCCATAATAGCTGTAACACAGACGACTGCTAAAACATCCAAATAACACAGCTGTCCAACACATCCAATCAGTAACATGCTGCATCTTTCCATTGGCGTAGTAAATTAGATAGACATTTATGTCTGAGACAGGACATGTCAATTTGTTAATGAAATGCTGAATGTGAATATGCAACTGTTTGCAGTGGAGCTCCAAAGTTTATCTTTAACGTTATAACAAAATATCATATTGATATTATCATTAAAGACTTAAGTAATATTAGTGCATGGGTCATGTTGACACACAGCGTTTTTTTGTCACATTTAATGGGATTTCTTTTCCTGTTATTTCCTCCTTAGACTAACGGACTGAATGGAATACAAAGAGAAGCACAATGGAAGGCCGACCCATTTGACATACTTGCACCTGACTTCCTCTCCTCCTCCACCACCTCGTCCTCCTCCTGGCACAACACACAGTCCCTGACCAGAGGCTCCTCCATGCGAACCCCCCCCTCCATTCCTCCCTCTAAGTTGTCCTCCAACACTCTCCCTTCATCCTTCTCCCTCCAGGCGTCCGCACTGTCAGACCTGCAGGCACTCGAGTCGTCCTCCTCCTCCTCACTCTCCACCCCATCACCTTTCGCCTCCTCTCTGCTCCCACCCCCTCCGATCCCATCTCGTAGCCGCTCGCAGGAGACACTTCGTGCGTCCCCGTGCGCTTTCCCGACTGACCTGCTTCCTGCCAGACCCAATAGTACCAACCCCTTCACAGGTCCTCTGGCGCAGCAGCAACCGCGGTCCCTCACACCAGATTTTAGCATTCAACGTCCCCCTGTAACGCAAAACCTTCAGAGGACTATGTCTTCTTTCACTCAGCCACTTATCCCACCACAAGCTCCTGCTGCTGCACCCAACTCCCAGCTCCAAAGGACCATGTCCCTGTTTGGACCATCATCCACTTTGAATCCTACACCTGCTCCTCTGCTGCTTCCCCTCCCCCTTGACCCATCTCCTGTCCCCACCTTGCCTCTGGCTCCGCCCTCCTCCCTTCCGCCTGCCCTCGCACCTCGTCACCAGCCGCCTGCCCCAGCAGGGAAACCAGCAAAGCAGTGGGTCACTTTTGATGATGATTTCACAACAACCAAAACACCACAGGCCCCAACTTTCCCAGCCAGGTCTCAGACTCTGGCTCCCTACTCTGTGTTTGACTCGGAGCCCGACTGGTTATCCTCGACCCCTTCTGTTTACCAAACCCTCCCTCCTCCCATCCCTACTAGGACTGCGACCACTAACCCAAAGCCCCCAGAGGGTTCCAACGACGACTGCTTCTTCCCCAGGGAGTCCACAGAAAGTTAAGATTACTCTTAGTATATAAAAGGGCATATCCAGATATGTATAGATCTATGATAAATGTGTATATGTTTATGTGTATGTACAAAAGAGACAGTATTTAGGAAGTATAGACCAATCCCCATCCTGAATCACAGCAAAGGGTTCATATGTTCCAGCAGTAACATGAGAAGTGTATGATCCTACATGTGTGTTCCAAACGTACCACACAGATGTTTGCCTGTGCCCCGATGTTATGATTCCATCTGATTTTAATTTATGTCAGCAAACGTGTCCATGTGTCCACAGTATATAAAGTTATATAGAGAGTACATGTAAAAGCACAAAATCATGTGTGCGACCACTTGTGCAATATCAAGACAGGTCTGCTTGGCCGTGCAGCTTTCAGTGTTACCTTTGCATTCGCTGGCTGATGCACTGCAGATCATATCCGTCATGTCGAGCGATCTGTAAATCAGAGCCAGGTTGTCAGAGTGGAGGGTAACACTCGGCTTTCTCTCAGCTTCTTGCGTTTAAATGTAGTGCAAGTCTACATACTGCAGGTTTTACATTTAAAGGAAATCTTTGCTTTAATTTGCATAGATTCAAGTTCCTGTTCTTTTGTGCAGATTTGAGAGTCATATTCTGTACTTGCTTTTATCATGAATGTACTTTGTGTTGCACTGGCTTTTGGCATTGCTTCTGGCAAGAACCTCACCAGACATCAGTCAAGCCAATCAAACTGTTCACTGCTGCATGTCTGATGCTCTATAATGTCAAGTCATATTCTTGAAACCAGGACATTTTCGTTCTCTCTACTCAGTCATCATTTTACCCCTGGGATTGAACAATTTGCTGCATATATTTTGTAGCTGTATATCAAAACCTATACGTAGTGGCTATGTATAATTGTAGGTTTTCTGTATGAAAATCACTTGCTTAATGTGTGCGTGATTGTGATGACTGTATCAGTGGTTTTGCATTGTGTAATGATATGCACTGAGATGCTGTTTGTGCTCATTTGGCTGTATCCTTGTGATGGCGGAGCAACAAAATTAGCACTCGCAGACTGAACAGGCGAGAGGACTTTCTTGGACCATTTCACCTCTGTACTGTTTTCATCCTCCGTGATTCATCCAAAAGCATTTAACCATCCTGAGGTTGTAAATTCAGAGAACATAGCTCGTGTGTCTGTGTGTGTGTGTGTGTGTGTGTATACTTCTTTTACTTCCAAGTACGATAGGGTCAGTAATAATCATGGCAGAAAAGACATGTCATGTATCGAATAATGAAAGGGCACTTTTTTTTTTTAATGATTGTTCATGCAGAAGTTATTCTTTCATTTCCAGGGAGATACACTCTAAATAACCTGTTGTTGATACTGTGCTGAGAAGTAATGTGTCGTGTTTGAGGTGCATATCGACTGTTGTGGTGTTTGTGTTTGGATGTGAGTGTGTGTACAGAGTTCGGAGTGAAATACCAGACTTTTTCCCCCTACCACAAAGTATTTTCTTTGAAGCCGCACGGTGTATTTGCTTACAGGTTCTCACTTAACAGCCGCTGTATTCACTTAGTCATGACTGTAACTGTGTATTTCTGCTCTCTGCAACAACAAAAAAAGGCTGTGGAGTGGCAGCACTATATGCGAACAAGGTAACAATTCAAGACAAAGGTCTCTTTTCTCACCTGCACCTGAGTGAGATTTTTCTCTGTAGCAGCACCATAAGATGTTTCACTACTTTGAATATACAGACTCCAACTACACTCTGTGTTTGAACCAAATGCACCACCAGACATACATTTCCAAGCCAAGTGTTTGTTGTTTCCTTCCCAGGCGCAGTTCAGCTCACATTCCAGACAGAAGTGTGATTTTGAGTGTTGGGTGTTAAACTCTTCTCAGTCTTTACAGGCTCACTTGTTTTATCGATCCTATATCGGTTTTCTCCAGCTGAGAGGAATAGTTACTGGACCCTGCTGATTTCACGACCTTTTAATGAGGTGTGTGTGTGTGTGGTGCCGTCAGAGGTGATGTGTTAGTATTTTCACATTCAACCCTACACTGCTGTTGAGTTTAACTGGTCAGGGGTCATATTGACAAGCAATCGTTTTGCTAAATGAGACCATTGAGACTCCAACCCTCCCTAACATGACACATGCAAGCTGTTGTAGTCCAATATGAAGATTCCCCCTCCAGTGCTTCAGAAATTATGGGATCGGCTGAAATGTCTTAAAAGGATTTTGAAGGAGAATAAAAACATCTGACCCCCCCCCCCCAAAAAAAAAAGACTAGCTAATGCTTTTGCGCTTTGTTAAACACAATGTAATACATAACGTAAGACATATAAAAAGTAGTGTCATTCACTGCACTGAAAGCAGTAGCTATCTATGTAAGCAAGTGTATCAGGTTGCCTCTGCTTACATGTCGATGTCATCTGTTCAATGCATTTATTGTGTTATCCAAATGTGTGCAGTAGATACTGGTTCTGCATTAACAGTAGGTGACTAGCCAGCGCTTCGTGTCATGCTCAGATAAAGATTTTATAGGAAAACAACATGCTCCTTTTGTGAGGTCAGTGTCCCTTTTTATGGTTATAATCCATAGTAAATAAGAGTCTGTGTAGTTGGACATATTGTATGTCGATTCATGTTAATATCCAACGTTCCATATTTGACGTGCACAGCAGATTGCACATTTATGTATGAAGCAATTTATGTTGTATGTATGCAAAAATAAATGTATGTTTACCTCAGTGTTTATATGCGTCTTCTTTAACTGTATGCAATACGCAGCAACTTTTTGACAATCCTTTTTGATTATTTTGACAATAAAATTGTCTGAATATTCCTGTATACAACACTTAAGGTCCTAGATATTAAGAAATTACAAAATATACTGAAAAAACTACCGTTTACTGATGTTTTACACTGTGAGCCATGATACGGGTTAGTTAGGGTTAGTACCAAACCAAAACTAACCACTGAAATCATCTGTATCATTGGTTGATTTATATTTTGGCATCAATATTTGTCTTTTACAGTACTTTCTATCAGTATTAAATATTCACAACAGCAATTAAATGTGTTATAAAGTACATCTATGCAAACACAAAAAGGGAATATCAGTGTCCCTACCATAGACTGTAAAAAGATGATTATTTACAGTATATGGTCCCTACCCCATCACTATAGAAGGATACCCTATATTAATTTAACTCTCAATTGTAATTATAATACAAGACAGGTTCAAATTTAAATTGCTTAAAAAAAGACACTCACAGCTCATCCTTTTTTTATACCTCGATTTTTGTCTGTAGTAATTTGCAAACAGAATTTGGATAACATTTTTTAACAACAACAAAAATATTACACTTTTTTTTTTAATTCATCCCCTTTGGCAAAACAGGGGTAACTTAAAAAACAATCTTCAACTTTCCTGTAAGTTGTGTTACCATCATGTACCAGTAGAGGGCAGTGTGTATTCATGTAATTTGAGACAACGATCACAAGAAGAAGAATTCCCCCCCCCATTGAATCCTCATGGAAGGTTTAGCTGGTAATGTCTTTTAGTAGTGTAACGTATTTACCGTATTGTGCTTGTCGTTTCGCTGAACAGGTAAGCGTCACAATCCTCGTGTCTACAGGTCAGCGTTGTGTTTCTGGAAGCGTCCACACACGACTGTTGCTATGGTTACGCTGTGTTACCCTAGAGACCCTTAGCCGCTTTGGAAACACGGACATGTTTTTTGTTGTTGTTGTTGTTGCGTGATTACTTATCAAACAAATCGCTTTAAACTCTCGTCTTTTCCTCTCTTTTAAGAGTTGAACAAAGCGGCTTGAAGATGGTGCAGCTGCATGTGAAGCGTGGAGATGAAAGTTTGTTTCTCTTCAACACCACGGTGGACGCGACTGTTGAGACTGTGATCCAACAAATTACAGCTGTTTACAACGGGAGACTCAAAGTGGACAGGATATGTTCAGGTGACACATGTGCTTTGTTTACAATCTGGGAAAGAATGAGAAGTGGTCTTTGGCTGCCCTTGTACTTCTTGGCTATTATTTTTTTGGTTTAAAGAAGCCTCTTCTGTTGATCTTCATATTCTTTACTTATCCACCTGTGGTCTATTAGAAACATATTTCAGTCCAGTACCAAAGACTGACACTGACCTGTCTGTATTTTGATGTACCCTTTAGAGATCCCGGAGCTTGCAGACCATGGCATCATACTGCCAACTAATATGCAGGGGCTGACAGAGGAGCAGATTGTGGACCTGAAACTGAAGGACGAATGGGAAGACACGTGCGTGCCCAGTGGAGGGCCAGTATTCAAGATGGATGAAGTTGGAAGGAGGAACGGACATGGTGAGACTATATGACTATTAACTGAAAGCTACAATTCTACAATTCACTTAGCAGACGCTTTTATCCAAAGCGAAGTACATCAGAGAGTAAGTACAACACAAGCGAGGATCTAGAAAAAAAAAGGGAACAGTGTCAGTAAGAGCAAACGATCAGCTTTGAGTCTGATTGGACACACAGGTGCTGACAGGAAGTGACCAGAGGCAAAGCACAACATCGACGGCAGTTCTTGAGCGCTCTAATCAGTATAGAAACCATCTTATAAGTCGTCCTTATCAAACAAAAACAATTGTCACAACCGTCATCATCATCATCAGTGATATCAAGACCATCATCATTAAGTTAGTAGATATTCATGAAAGAGCTGGGTCTTTAGCTTTTTCTTAAAGGTGCTTATAAAGAAAGCTACACAGTTTAACAGTGGAACTAATCGAGATTCACATCCCTGTTTAATAAAGGCTTTTTATACGACATCAGAGTGCCTCAGACTTTCAGTTTAGACTGCCTTTCCACACTTCAAACAAACAGACAGTCAACTTTATGACAGTCAAAGTTATTTTGACTTCTGTCCCCTGTTCTTGAACAGCACCTGATTCCTCTACATTTGTTTTTTTGACCCAGTGCAGCACTCACTTCTACCTTTTTTCCTAATCTGGATTCACATTCTAAAATGTTTATGACTTACTGCAGCACTAGTGTGGGTTAAGTTTAGGTGGTAATGAATGGGTTTAGCTTTAAACTTCTAAATGTCAAGCAATCAGTCAGTCTTTATTTGTATGCCACCAATTCACAACAAATGCTTTCTCAAGACATTTTATAAAAGAGCCGGCAAAAGACTGTACTCTTCGTTATAAAGACCCAACATGAATCCATCCTGAGCACAGCACTAATCAGCATTTAGCAAAGTTACAGTGGCAAGGAAAAACTCGATGAACAAAAATGTGACATGATTTATATCACTCCTACATGTGATAGGAATTTTCTTCTGTGACTTTGAAATTCTGCAATCATTTCCATTCAACCGTTTATTTCCATTGATTCTGTAATAATTGTGTAAATAATGGCAATGTTAATGATTATTAATTGTTTTTATCTCTGCTCTGTAAGGTGACCTTGAGAGTTTTGAAAGGCGCCTTTAAATAAAATGTATTATTATTATTATTATTATTATTATTATAAAAAAGTCTTAAAATAAAGAAATAATTCTCCTTAATTTCTAACAGCTCCAAATGATAAAATGAAGCAAGTGTTAATGAAGACAGTCGAGGAAGCAAAGGCTCTGATATCCAAGGTGAGTGTTAGAGTTAATACTTAAATATATATATACAAAAATATAACAAAATATATTTTGGTTCACCAAGCTTCAATACTTTGGATTATTGTCTGTCTTTCCCTTTTCTTTTAGAAACAAGTCCAAGCTAACGTTTGTGTCACTAAAGAGATGATTAAAGAAGCCCTGGATCAGCTAAGGGGTGCAGTTATGATTGTTTATCCTATGGGACTGCCCCCTCATGACCCTATCAGGATGGAGTTTGAGAACCAGGAAGACCTTACAGGAACACAGGTACACACATAGACACACATTCTAGCCACTAGCTAATATGTGAAGTTAGTTTGTGGTCAAAATTGCTTGATATATTTGGAGGCGAAGCTGTCTTCTTGATAATCTTTCTTTCCTTTTTCCTCCTTTCATTCCTGTGCATCTGCTCTTTCCATCTGTCTCCATACCTCAGGCATCCCTGCAGGTGATCACAGAGGACGAGTGCCAGCTCTGGTGGGCTGCCAAAGAGATCCAGAGAGGGAAGAAACTGCAGGACTACATAGGAAAAAATGAAAAGACCAAACTTGTGGTTAAAATCCAAAAGGTGAGCGCCATATCATGTGTGTACACCTGGAGTATAGGGCAAGCAGTGCATTTGTTTTAAGATTACATTAGCCTTGAAAAAGGTTACAATCCATTTGTTTCTGTTCTCATTAGAATGGACAGGGGGCACCAGGGAGAGAACCTCTGGTCAATGATGAGCAGCATAAACAGATGATGATGCATTTCTACAGGAGGCAGGAAGAGCTTAAGGTAAGGAAACACCAAGAACATTTAATATAAAGTAGCCACACACATTCAAAATACTGCTCCTGCTTGTATTAAATGCGCCTCTCCTCCTGGTTACATTTTGTCAGAAACTGGAGGAGGCGGACGATGACACCCACATGGACTCAGAGTGGTCGGACAGACAGGCTCTCAAAAAGCAGTTTCAAGGCCTCACCAACATCAAATGGGGACCAAGATAAAGGAAACTCTAATTCTGGTTTTTATTTGAGGTCTTCAAGAGAATATAATGTACAGCCAATGTGTTTATATGCCTCGTTTCTCCACTTACATCCCAAAAAAGAGAATATAATGTACAGCCAATGTGTTTATATGCCTTGTTTCTCCACTTACATCCCAAAAATCTGAATAAAGTATAGGGACAAATAATATGACACGACAGCTATTACAGATTTATTTTAACTTGAATGGGATTTCTGTATTCCTTTACAGATACTTTTTGCTCTTTCTTTAAAACTAATTTAAGCTATAAATCCAAAATTAAATTGGTGTTCGATCCTGAGTTACTGTGTTTTTAAGTGTGTTCTAAAACGTGTTGACATTCAGTGTAGCCCGGGAGGTAGTGACTCAGCTGGAACACAGTGTAACATCCATCGGAGTGCAGGGACAAGGATGCTACACCTTTCCTCTCTTTGTCTCCAATCATTGACACACACGCTCCTCTTAAAGTCAGGATGTTGCCACAAAGTGCTATGGTTGTTCCAGCTCATTTTTCCAGCCTTAAATCACTGGAGGGTTGAAATGTGAGCGCACATTAACGGAGCCAATTCAGTAATTCAGAGGTGCAGCCGGGTTTAAGGAACACTTCATACCAACAAAAAAAAAAACATCCTGTACGCAAGGACATGTAGATCCCAAGAATAATATCACCTTTAATACATTCACTTCAGGTGTTTTTTTAAAGAGACATGTATCAGTTATGGCATGAGGAAATATTGTTGTACCTGGTACAAACCACTGCCATTTTTTTTTACCATAACAAACCATTACAAACTACAGGGAGCTGGAGAGGAGAGCCAACACAGTGTTTCATGGTCACTTTTGAGCTTTAGTAACAGATACAATTCCTTCTTCCATTCTTTGGTTTACTGCTGGAGCTGCTTTGTGATCCATTGGTGAATCAGAGGAGCAGTGTTCTTAAATTTCATTAATGTGTCATCCCCTGGTAGTTCCAAAGGTTGGCTTATTTCTGAATGAGTCAGCAACAAAAACAGATCATTTAAGTATCTGGATAGATCGCCGTCTGTCAAAAATCCTTTGAGAGAAATGAATAGATTTTTTTTTTTAAATATCTCTTTCCTGCCACTTCCATTGTGTCGGATCAATTTCTTAAACTCTCTGCTGAACTGTTTACTCAATCATAGGTTTATTGATGACAGTGTAGCCAACTTACTTCCAGTTATTTATTTTTTTTTTACTTCCTGTCATTCTTCCCAATAAAAAGAAGCCAGCAGGCTGCTGGGCCTTTTTCCATCGCGCGTCCTTTCCTTCTTGAATAACCTCCCCACTGACATCAAACAGTCTTTCAGTTAATGTCGTATTCTCTCATAACTTGCACTTTGTACCTGATGATCCTCTTATCTCTCGTTTTACCCTGACTTCTCTGTGCTGGACCTCTGCTCTGTCCTGGGAAGTCTCATTCTCATTCAGATACTTTGGATCCTTGTTGTGTTCGCTTTCTCTGCTGCCTTGCCACTGCGGCTCAGGTCTTAAGGTGTGTTTGGTTTGGAAGTTGCTTGTCAAACTGAAAGAGCCATGTATGTCAAATAGTCTTATCATCCTGATTATCCACACTGTAATTTTACTTTGTTGGACTATTCTGAACACAAAACATCTACTGCTTGTCGAGCCTAAAAGAGGAAGTTCTTTCAGCCAGTTCTCAGCCTTTTTAATGTCACAGGATTTGTGGGGGAATTTTTCCTCCAAAAAGCTTCTCAAAGGGAAGGGATTGGCCTAAAGTTTAGGCCCTAAACTGTACAGATTGAAAAGCTCTTGACAATAAAAAATGAAGTATCATTTTATTTACTTCAAGTAACTTCTGTCAAAACAAGTGATTTTATCCTTTTTTATAAGCAGTAAACAGTTTTTTGACCAACAATCTGAGCTTGTTTGTCAATGTGAATACATAGAACCATTTAAAAAATTCAGGATGTAAATGGAAACCCATTTGACAGTTTTAAACTCTGTTGACCCTTTAAAAAAATGGCTGGCATTGCAGTTTCACCTGAACATTCAATTATTTACAAACAGCACTCTAAAACAGCAGTACACATAACCAACTGCGTATTAATGCCCCCAAATATTTGTTTTACACTATATAATCTGAGGCTGGGAGCTGCTGCAGAATCCTGAATAAATCCTGAAGGTGCTGAAGAGAATCCACACACCCCAGTTTAATTAACACGAGCTGCCGTTCAGATATGAATTCATCCATATTTCCTGCATGATCATCTCCCTGCGGTCAATCCTCTCTGCACGATCGGCCGCCTCGCTCACATACGTCACTTCCTCCCAGCACTGTATCGCCTTCCTTTCTGCAGCCGAGACCAAAGAGCTTTCTGTTCCCTCTTCATCGTCATCCTCCGTATCATCCTCATCATTGTCCTCCTCCTGGCACTCAGCAGCCTGGTTACAGGACTTGGGTGCGAGTCTGCGATCTCTGATCCGGCTCCTCCTGCAGGTTACTCTTACTGACACAGCCAGCAGTGTGAGCAGAAGGCCGACGCACACGCTGGAGGTGAAGAGCAGCGCCGCCATTTCTGGATGCTCTGTGTCGGAAATGAAAGCAGGAGGTGTATGAAACGAGGATTGGGCGTGCATTCGTAGGTGCATACATGTGAATAATGTTTACCTTTGATGTAGGCATAGGTCATGAGAGAGTTGCTCATCATAGCTCCTGAGTTTTCTGGCCTTCTCGACCGTTTGGGGAAAGGTTCCGTTATCGCCGTAGGAGAAGCTGTTGAGAAAATGTAAATTATGAGAGAGTTTAGACGACACCAAAAACCTGGAGCTGCAACAGACGGCTTCAGATTGTACCTTTGTCAGTGACTGCAGTAGTAGATGAGGTGGGGCTGAATATGTGAGGGTCTGCTTCCCTTAGTAGCGTCTGTGATACTATTGGAATAAAGATAAAGTCAGTCGTTAGATTACAGACAATTAATCCGGCACTCAAATGTTGTCAAACAGTTGAGAAAGTTTCTAAAGCTTGGACCATAGACGGAGCATGTTCATGAGAGTCTTACACGGATCCAAGGAATCTACAGTCAGTCAATCACCAGGACGCTACCTCCCACATTCAGATCTCTGCCAAATCTAGGCTGACAATGGAAGACATTCTCAAATTTGTAATTCTTTCTGTTCCAATTGTGTTGATAACCGGTCTACAAGGCTAACACAGAATGTTTTGCACTAAATGGGGCCAACAGAGCCGGTCAGGAGAATTTTATCAACACACGCCTGAAGTCAGATTTCCAAACTTTGATACATGAACATTGTTGCTGCATGACCTCACTGGCATCGGTGCCAACCATAGGAAGTGTACCAGGATGTGAACCTCAACCCACAAATCCGAGCTCACAGCCTGTTATTCCCCTGCCACTGTGTTGTCGGGATTGATTTGATTAGATCAGCTGATGGCTCAGATCCGCTGATTAATAACACACAGTAGGAAACGACAAAGAATTCTCTGAAGGATATGCCACATAATTAATGAGGCAAAAACAAAAACAGACATGACGTGAGCTAATCCTTAATGTTTAGCCTGTTCCTATTTTGGAACCTCGCTCTGATTTATCTTGTGAATGAGGAAGCAGAAAGAGTCTTACCACAAGAATAAACCACGCTGAGGTACTTCCTGGTTCCTGGAAAGCAGGGGTCCCGGAACGTCTGGTTGCTGACAGCAACAGAACACTTGTGTTTGCTGTAGCAGGACTTGGATACCAAGTGCACGGCCTCGTGGTTCAGGCACTCTGTAGGGAGAAGTGAAGAGCCAGTTGGTAATAATTACTTAACATTTGGGTTAAGCTCACTGATCCAGCTGCAGCAGTGGAACAAAAGATTCAGTGTTGCGCACGAGTTTGGTTATAGGTAGGTTTGTAAACATTTTTAATAGTGTATCATTCTAAAACCATTTTTGTCCACATGGAATCTTGCCTTTGTGCCGGGCTATTTGTATAGGCCTTTATTTCACAGCAGACATAGCAGTCATACCAGGAGGAAAATAACAGGTGTATTCAATAACATTGCAGATGGCTTAGACAGAGCTAAAAGGAATGCAGCCATTATTAATGTAATTAGTTACACCTGTGATTTTGCTGCTTTGGACTTGTCAAAATACATTCTGCGACGAGAGATTACTGTACACCACAGCATGCAAATTCTTTAAGTGAGGCTATAGTTGCTCATAAATACACATTTATGTCTATTGTAAAGCAAAACATCACAGTAAATGTACAAGGATAAGATCATATTGATGTTTCCTTGTCACAGCTTCATTAAAAACTTCAATTTGAACTCTTAAATAGAACATAACTAGCTTATACAGTGTATCATACAAGAAATAGGGAAGTGATTTTTGGACACAGCTTCATTACTCAGAGTTCTCCTAACAGGGCTCTCTTCTTAAGAATTCCCTGCATAACCCCACTCCGAAAAAAAACATAACTGAAGCACAGATGCTGCTCATTAAAATAGTTATTATTATTCTCAGTTATTAGCCTTTTTTTATTTCGACATATTAAAACGAGAAGTTGTAATATGTAGAAACTCTGTGAATCGGTGTCTCAACACATTGTATTGTAAAGGGAAAACATCTGTGAGTTACCACCTCATGAGAATACAGCATAATCCCGTTGACTCACCAAACGGGGGTGGTCTTGTCAGGTGTGAGGGGCAGGTGTCAGTCTGACCCAGACTTCTCCCGTAGACAGCTGCATAGATGATCAGAACCTTGGGGGGCTTACAGCGAAGGACCATGGTCTCTCGGTCACACACCACATGTCTTTTGTGTTCAGCTGAGGGAAGGGGGGGAAAAAAAAAAAATCAGGATAAAGATTTTAAGGGGATGATGTCATCATGTCAATGGGAAACTCAAAGGTAAGGATAGAGTCAAAGAGGGGAGATTTTAAAGACTGATTTCATTTCTGTCCACTCCTGGTGGTGCTGCCCTGCTTGTGATCTGGACTCATTAGCTGAATCCTGCAAGTTGATTGTGGTTGTAATTGATATGTGCTTCTCTGTTTACATGGGGATTGTTGTTTGTGTTAATTGTTTTTACAGGTTGATGCTACTGTGGAGGCAGCTAATAGGTGCAGCACTTCAATCTCCAAGGGGGACAATACAGTGCATTGCATCGGCTCATGTTGTATCACATTGTATTGCATTTATTTTTTTTTTATTAATTTTATTTTGATCCCCATTAGCCACTACATAAGTAGCATCTACTCTTCCTGGGGTCCACAACATCATCAAAATGCAATGCATCATATCATATCGTATTGCATTTTGCTGTATTATATCTGATCAGATTGTACTGTATGATTCAGTATCGTGTCATATTTGTACTGTATTGTATCATATTGTATGTTTGTGTATAGTTCTGTCGTTATTTAACTATTAAACGTGTGAAACAAATAATGACGGAGTGGAGGCTGACTGAGAGGGGATATGGCAGCAGAAAAAGATTGTGAGCAGGTAAGGGCTTCACTGAAAATGAGCAGCGTGACTCACTTGGTTTACACTTGTAGTCCACATGGAGGTATTTGGAAGTGCCAGGGCAGGGGTCCTTCCCAAACAGCAGGTGGTTGACAGGCAGCTGACAATCTCTGTGACTCTGACACTCTGACAACAGCTTCTGAGCAGGAAGCACCAGACAGACTCAGCATTTACCAGTTTAGAGACAAACACAACCAAATCAGAAGCAAAAAAAAAAGAAAAAGGATCAGGCACAAATACTCATAGCACCCCAATACTCATAGCACTTTTACACTACATGTGTTTCTCTCTTTCAACGTGTCTTTCAAGTTCCGAGCGGTTTTAACTCCCATTCATACACAATCACGCGCAGCTGGCTGTGCCATCAGGAGTCACTTGGGGTGAGATGTCCTTTCCTATTGTGCTTTGACTTGTAGACTGCAGGAGTTGGGTTCAAACCACCAACCTTTCATTTGACTGATAACTAACGAGAGAGATCATTTGATCACTTAAATCCACTAAAACCGCCCACCTTTACCAATCAGACCCGGTGAAAGTGTAATGTGCTGTGTACTGCAGAATCAAAATGCACCTGTAGGGTGGTAAAAGCAGAGCAGCTGTGGTTGTGGGCTCTGTGCGGAGGGTCTGCTCTGCACAGCCGCGCCTCGCCGCTCCCGTAAAACGCAGTCTGGATGGAGATGGTGGAGTGACGAGGACAGTGGAGTCGCAGAGGCTGTCCGTCACACGCCTGAGCAGAGTGGCTCGTGATGATCCTGGACAGGTAGTCTGTTACACAAAAAAACATTTATTAGTCATAAATACGGAGAAGGGACATGCTTTAGCATTTCTGGATCTTGAACCAATACTACAGACTAAAACTCTGGCCTTGGTCCCTGATATTTGAACCTTCTTTTGATCTGTTAGATAGTTAGTTAGTAGGTTATAGAAGTGTTTTGTAGCTTAAGCACTGCTTCTATCCACTATAAAACCAATGGGACCAACACAATTCGCTTCCTGGGTGTCCGCTATTGCTTGCAGGATTAGGAAAAGAATAACAGCGTCAGCGATGAAAACATGTTGAAAAAAGGATTTTGATTTTGAAGAGTCTAAGAAAGTAATTTCTTCTTTTAGTCTTTTGCGTCTGTGGTTTCAGATTATGTTTGTTTGGCCTCTTTGCAGCTCTTGTCTCATGTTGCTTTGAAACTCTCCCATCAAAGTGCTGACTGCCAAACCTTTTTCCTGGGTGGCAATCTCTGCCAACTGGCATTCAACTTTGCACAGTCTACTTGTGTGTAGATGTGATGAAGTTACTTCTGGATCAAAGGCTCTTTTTTTTTTTTTTTTTTTTTTGGGGGGGGGGGGTGTTTGCAAAATCTGTCCCATAGAAAATCACACAGAAGTGATAGAAATAGATTTGAAGGACAGTTTTAGTAGATGTTTCTCTAAATAAATAAAAAATAGTGAGAATAGCTTGTCTTAAAGTCACTAAGTTAAGGGATTGGTGCAATTCTCTACAACATCATGTTTTCTCCACATGTTCTTCATTCTTTAAACGATGTCCAGATGACGTAATGTTGTAAAGACACATTTTAAAAACTGTCTTTGGGTCAAACTGCTGAAATTTTAGGAACACCAGCAGTGTGAAAAACAGACAACACTTTAACCATCTTAACCATTACACCGCACATTTACACATTTATTGCACTCCCCCGTTGTAGCTTTTTACACCACTTTAAAGAATGCAGCCGCATACCAAACCTAAAAAAAACCCCCAAAAAACTATAGCCTAACTTTGAGGGCTCCTAGGGACAAACCCTGATTCACCCTCTCCTCCTTTCCACTGCTTCATCACCACCACCACCATCATCATCATCATCATCATCTTACTTGAAAAGTCAGCCAGTCCATTCATGCGTCTGGTCCACAGCAGTAAAGTCAGGTAGAAGAGGCTCTGGCTCCACTCTAGTCCAGGATAAGGACGCGTCCGGCTCATGACTCGCATCCCCTGTCTCTGAGATCATATTCAAGACAGCTAAAACTCACTGAAGGCTGCAGGACTTCATTCAAAGAAAAAAAAAAAAAAAAAAAAACACACACAGACAGAAAGGTGAAATGCCTCAAGGTGTGTCTTCTTCTGGCACCGCTTAGCCTAATCCATCTGTCCTCCTTTACAAAAAAAAGAAGAAAATATCACCCAGAGAGCCCCTGTCCACGGCAGTGAGGACCACAGAGGAAGGTTGGAAAATAGCAGCTGCGCAACAAGTTGTTGAAAAGTGACACACGAGCTGATTTCATCCGGTGTATGGTGATCTCTCTTTGACTTTGTTGCTGCTCAACTCCGCAGATTCATGAATAAAACGCATGTGGAAACTGAAAGCGTCTTACAGTAACAGCTGAGTGCGTATTATGGGGTGGGCGTGGCTGATAAAACTATTTTAAAGGGAACGGGCGGGTGGGGGGGGGCTGAATGGTATGACGCAGTGGCAGGACCATTTTCTCACCCATGAGGCACATGTTTACCTTTTGGATTGTGAGAAACTGTTCCTTTTGTGAGTTATTTGCTCTCTGTTTTACGTTACTGCCTCTGCTTTACTTCCCACCACTATAAACAGGCAGGTTGTATGTATTTTTAAATTTTTATTTGTATTATATTCGCATTGTCTTTTTTTTAAAAAAAGCTCCTCTGAGGAGTTTAAGCTGGTGATGAAACTGACCGAAATGAATGCTGATGCCTATATTTAATACATACAGCAAGATCAACATCAGGCGAGGCAATAAACAGCACTCTTCAGAAACTTGTACATTTCCCACAGCAGACATTCATTTCTGAGCCACACAATCGACCTTTAAAATGAAGAAGTGTGAGAGGTTTCTTTATGTCAGAAAAGACTTCTTCCATGCAAACTACAACTTGCGGCAGAGATGTAAATAGTGCTGCTTTGTCCACAGAGTTTGCCAAAAGTGACTGAACATGATTCCTATTCCACTCATGAGCTTTAATTTGCTGTTACCCTGTAGGGACTATGGATGCAAATGAGCATTCTGGCATGTTTACAGCTTCAATTTTTATGCAGATGGTTATCAACATCCTCTCCCACTATAAAATAAAATAAATAAATGTGTAAATAAATTAAAGTTCTCGTTAATAATTGTTTTATTTTGTAACTTATAAGAGGTAGAGGTAGTCAATAATTACCAATCTTATTTCTCTTACTTTAAACTTTGGTCAGAATTGGGTTGCTCAACCTTCAGTTGTTGTTCTGAGTTCTGGCTTATTTGTAAGGGATATTAATAACTGTGTTTGTACTAAAACTGTTGTTATTGTTGGTGAGATTTTTTTTAGTGGCTTCTCAAAAAAAAAAAAAAAAAATGAGAAGCCACTCAACCACTTTGGTAGATCAGTGTTTTCTTTTTTTTTTTCAGCCAACAAAGATCAAGTTTCAAGTGAACGATATTTGAATTCTGTTTCTTTTCATAAACTGTCCATGCCCTCACCGTGGGGCCTTTGAATGAATCAGGGGGCCTACTGGGTAAACTGCTCCCCGGCCCACATCCATGACCCACTCCATGGTAACCAGTCAATCGACATGTCAGACAGCAGAGCAGACCTACAACAGTCAAACTGACAGAGACTCTGGGGGTCTCCGTGCTTAGCTCCAAATCAGGGGGTTGGGGGGGGGGCGCTAAGTGGCAAGAGGGAGGAACTTAGGGGTGATATTTTGCATACAAACTGGACAACAGGCCCCCTAGTTGTTTCCATTCTCTGCATTTTAGCTGAAGGAACCCAGGGAGTGGCTCTAAACCCCCTTTCATGTGCTGTTATCCCTCCAAAGCCTGTGGAATTTTGTTGTCAAACACAAAAAAATGTTTTTAAGAAAAGATTCAACCATGTAGGTGAAAAAGCAATAGTTGCCCTTTGGAGGTGTACTCGATTCATGCATAAAGATATGGTGAGAAAATGTCTGAAATGAGTAGGTGTGAAAGCAAGAATATTAGGTTTTTAAACAAACCTAAAGGAACAACTTTCTGGAGAGTAAAGACAAAGCCATGTCTTTAAGAATGAGGTAGAAACCAAATTCAAGTATTATGATAAAAAAAAAAAAAAGGGTGAGAAAAGATAATCTAAAACATGTCATATTTTCCTTTGAAATATTCTACTCAGACGCCGTTCAAGTAAAACCTCGTCTGTGTTTGTGCAGGCAGAGGGTTTACATGTTGGGCGGACAGAGTCGATTAAAGGAGAATTCTCCCATGACTTGCTGATTGTTTAAATTGGGATCACGAGCCCTCAATCCGAAAGCGCTGACTCTAAAGTCAAGACAAAACATTTGATTAGTGTTAATGATGTGATGTAACAAACAGGAAGAGGAGGAGAGCAACTAAAGAGGTCCAAACCAGGGAGGAAAGATTATTTCCAATTTCTACTGTAAGGCTTTTTGTAATTATTAAAGGTTTCTTTTTAAGCACAAATAGTTGATTGAATACAAATACCTGGACCAGTTAGGCTGCTGTACTAATTTGGAGCATTTTAATTCTCAGCAGTTTTAAGCAGGTTATGAAACAGACTAGATCAATATTGAGGCCTCTTTATTTATTAGTAAAGCAAATGAGACCATCAGGATAATAATTTACTATTTTCTGTATAGTTGGTGACAGCATTGTGAAGCAGTCTTTTTCCTAATTTACCTCAACAAAGATTGCTGATTGATACTTTTGACTTGGCAGGGTGAGATATTTTGAGGGGAGGGGGGGGGCGCCAACATAACAAAACCAAAAGTTGCTCACAGGTGCTTTAAAAGAGTCTCCATCGTTTAGAACTTCGGTTTGTGTCGATTTTGGCGCCCCCTTGTGGAAAGACAATGATGTGGGGTTTTTTAATCAATCAGGATCTAAATAGAAACACTGCTTGTTCCTGTGAACGCAGCAATTCCTCGTACAGATTCATTAAAATAATTAAAAACAATAAAAAGTGACTTAATTGTCAGATAATGATATGGCGAAGTAGTCACAAAGAAGTAGAAAGTTTTTATTATTTTTCAGATTAAGAAAAAAAATATACAGAAAAGAAAAAAAAATCAGGAAAGATTTCAACGGGACCAACAGCTTCACTTGAAATTCACATTCATCTCAAGTTCTGAGTCAATTGCAGCCTGCAATTAAGAAAACAAAATAGTTTTTAATAAGAAAGGGAGCAACTAAAGTTCATCACATCCTCTCGTCTTTGTGTGTGTGTGTGTGTTTGTGTGTAAATATATGTTTGTTGTTGTTTGGTCCTGTGTGTCTGCTCTAGTGGGAATAGGTGTGTGTGTTGTATGGGATGCTGCAGGGTCCTTTTATAATATATATATATAAAAATGTGTTTTGTATTTTAGATTTGCTTCTGAATTGATTTTTTTTTTTACGTGATCGTTTGTATATTTTTGTCTCCTATAAAGCATATTGAGTTTACCTTTGTATGAAATGTGCTATACAGATAAAATGCAATTGAATCTCTCATTGAACAAGACATCTCAATACTTACCAATTCTCTTTTTGCTTCCTCTATTTTCACTTGAGCAAGAGAGGGGCTCTGTGACGGTTTGGAAGATAATTAAATTAGTAATAATTAATTTAGCTGAAAACACAAACAGAAACTTAAAGATGTTCAGTAGATACGTTAAATATATAATGACACTAAAACAAGGGACGTGAGAGTGATTTTGTCAGGTGAGTTAATAAAATCACTAAAAAAACAAACATACCGGGCTTAAGTCCATATAAGGCTCCAGTTTCTTTTGCAAAGGGATTACTTCCTGTTTCAGCGCAGTGACTTCCTACAGGGAGCAAAATGAGACGACACATTTCAGACCCTGAAAAGAGACGTTTTAGGTTTTCATTGGAGTCGCATGTGTAACAGCTGAAGTTACCTCTGAGAGCTGCACAATAGCCTGGTGTGTGAGGGACTTGTCCATGTTCCTGGATTGAAGTTGAGCCTGCAGGAAAGATTTTTTTTTTTTTTTTAAAAGGGTGAAACATCAGAAGAGGCCAACATGACAGAGCTCTGTTCTTCTCCTGACAATAATATAGAGGGTGTTAACTGTTGGCCCTGTCTGCAGCTTCAGCTCTGTGCCCTTCACCTAAGGCAGCAACATGATGCCCGGCGTTGCCCGCACAAGGTCAAACTACACTTTGTCTTTATTAAAGCTCGTCTGAAGAGCTTTTAACTAATCATGAAACAGACTACATTTAATACTGATAGTTCTTTAAGCAAACTAGACCATCAGTGACCAGATTTATTATTTCTATATAGTTATGATTGTCTGTAATCACCGCCACCAAGAAAGAAAAAAAAAAGGACTTTATATTGTTCTCAGTTAAAATTGATGCTGAGTAATATGCTTCACTGTTAAATGAAGGTAGGCATCAAAAAAAGTACTTATGCATGTGCAGGCCAACATCAGCAAAGAGATAAACTTTTCCATTTCATCCACAGATTTCACCAAAATAAATACAAAAAAGTTCCTCGCAGTAGCTTTAACTAATTACAACTGTTGAGTACTTTATAGTTTTAGTTAAGTTTTTGCTCCTATTAAGAGATATTTATTTCCCAACAAAAAAAGGGAAACAAAAAAAACCTCCAGAGCATCGATGAAAAAAAGAGCTTACTCTTAAATTATTTAGGCATTAGCACCTTAATTCATAACTTCATTTACACATTACAGCTTGACACAGACACGTGTTTGACTTCACAATGTACCTCTGCCCTCTCCCGTCTGTGGCTAAGCTCTTTAGCCTTTGCTGCGACAAAGTCCATGTTGAGGAGTCTCTCCTCTGCTTTGGCGCTCTCCACTGCCTGAGATTTGACCGTTTTGTTGATATCCCTGAAAATGATTTAAAACAAACACTTGTTAGAAATAAAATGTGACGTAGGCGTCAGCCAATGAAATAGTTGTTGCAACATGCTCGTTTCATCAACGCCCGTACTCTTGTAAGTTGCTCCGCAGCACCAGAGTAGCACCAAGTCTCTTCCTGAGGGCTTTGAGTTCTCTCTCAAGTCTTCTGTTTGACTTCTCGGCTTCCAGAAGTTCGTTGGTGTGGTTGTTCACTGCTGGCATAAAGCTAGACAAAACAGATTGATAAAGGAAACTGGTGACAAGAAAGAATTTAAATAGTAAGAGAAATCAGACTTCAACTGTGCATGACAGTGTACCTGCCCAGTGATGTGTCTCTGACTCCAAGCACCATGGCAGTGTCCACTAAAGCAGACACGTAGTCAGACGTGGACTTTGACAAGCTTCCACAGGACAGACCAACGCCTTGTAGAAGAACATCCCGGACATGAGCGTCTACATAGAACATAGAAATTTGAGTGCTGTGAAAATGCTTTTCGACACAATACTGTCTTACACTTTACTAA